CAGTCCCAGCATCAGACCCCAAAACAAGGTCAAGCGGTTCCTCTCCATTCGGCGCTGCATTCCTGTATCGTACGGATATTCCGCTAAAAGCCTGCGGATACGCCGGTTGTGAGGGGGGAGACAGCGCGGGCGAAGCCTGGCCGGAATAGCAAAAGCGCCCTTTTGAATAAACCAGCCAGCACCTTTTAGCTGTTAGCTGGCTAATGGAGCTAATAGCTAAACCGAATGGGCTAGCGGGATAGCTCGCTCACGCTTTCCTAATGGGAGTCCAAGTCGTGCTCCAAAAACAAAAAAAAAAAAAAAAAAAAAAAATCACCGATGTATACCTCTCGCCAGACAGCGTGAACTCATAGTTCTCTTTATCCCTGCCAAACATAACGCCGCATTGAAGTGTATAAGGAAACCATTGCGGCTAAACCAGCGGCGGGGATTCCTCTGTAATCCACATCTTCACGCTCCATATCTGGAGGAGGAAAAAAAAAAAAAAACAACCCTTCAACGTCCCGCTGGATGGAGGGTTCCTCACAACGAAGAAGAAGCGGGTCAAATCTCAATTTAAAAAATCGTTGGTGGACGGGTCCAAACGTGACATATTACATTTAAAACGCCACCCTGTTATGTGAAACACACGGCTTCTGCTGCGAAACACCCAGGATAAAATCTGGTTTCAGACCGCAGCCTCCTTCTCCTCCTCCTCCTCCTCCTCCTCAGCCGGTCATCATGCAGGCATACACACCGCGTTGTTGTGGTAGCCGTAATTCACCTTCATGCTGACTGAAAACGGAACGTTCGACCTTACTACTCGAGCTCGGGTCAAGTCCTTTGGCTATCTGAGGCCCTCCGTCGATAAGAGAGCTACGCGGGCAGCGTAGTTAGACAGATTAATGCACAGGTAAACACACAGTCTTTCTCGGTCAGTCTGCAGTCTGCTGTGTTCGCTGTAAACACGGCGCCGTGCGCAGAGATCGTCTCTATTTCAAAAGAAGATGAATGACTCCAAACTTTTGCTCCGCCCTCCGCTTTCAGAGAGGAGGGCGTAGCTCACACTGCAGTTAAGCCGCCGTACAGGAGCGGTTACCATAGTGACCGCTCCCTCACTCAGCGCCGGTTATACATTTGTATATTCTTTGCAGTGGGTCTGTGTTTCGCGGGAGAGGGGAAAATCCGTGGCTAAACGAGGTCGCCAAGTTTGATCACTTCGTCATTGACAATCAAAGGAGATTCTATGTTCACAGTAGACGTTATGACTTATTAGGTGGAGAATCCCTAAATAATCGGGCATTAAATAGCACAATATGTTATTGAAATGACTCAACAAATTCCACGCGCTCTTTCTCACGAGGGTCCTGAACCATCGCGATGTGTGACCAGAATTTAGGGTGGAGTGAGACATCGGCATCCCCGTCATCTCTTTGCACAGCCGTAGAGACTCCTCTTACGACGAGGTCTGAAGGAAACCCGGGATGCTGATCCGGGATCAGGGTTGTTTTGCTCCTCAAGAATGCACATCGGAGTGCCACCTATACAAAGATTATGTCTGTCTGCAACTGGGCTGGTGTGAATGGGTCAGCAGTGTCATGGACGGACGATTTAGGTTGGCTCAAACATCTACTGATAGACAATTATCCCGCCGAAAAACCTGCCTATTAGAGGTGGCATTCGGTTGGCGCAGTGATTTTGCTATAGTGTTTTACAAATAATTAAATAACACTGGTTAGGCTATTGAACCTAGTTTACAGACAGACAACTGTCCACAACAGATTACATACTTCAATTGAGGCAACCATAAAGGACATATTTTATGATAGAATAATAAACAAAAATAATCCTCGCTAGTCTTTGAATAGACCAAAACATGTTTTTATCTGTACTGCAATAGTATCCCAACATGTCTGCAGGATAAACAGATATGGTGGATCTCAGTGTGAAAGACTGAGCATTGAGACTGAGACAACAGACACTAGCCCTGTGAGACCCAGATCTGTGCGAGGATATGAGAAAACTTATGCTGGGTCTATTGTGCTAAAAAATAACCATTGTTGGTTATACAATAGGTCTGCAACAACAAAAAGAACTTAGAATATCTGGACAAAAATAAGGAATTAAGAATAGCAAGGTAGACCAGATGGGTGTAGAAGAGATGGGGTATTAGTAGAGAAGAAATGCAGGTCACCACCAAGGCCAAGTGACCATAGGTGTTCCTCACTGAAATGCACATAAAAGCTCATCAAGATATTGAAAAAAGACATTTGAGTGCCTTTTAGTATAAGACGCTAAATCTTATGATCTGTTGCCACAAAGAATGCTGTAATTGAAAACTAAACTGAACAAAGACCACCACTGGAAAAATGTCTGCGGTCAGGCAGGTTGTGGTAGCATCATAATGTGGGGATGGTTGCCTGCAATAGGGACAGAGACACTAGCTGAGACAGAGATGGTTTCTGAATATGAAGATTTATTTTGTTCAACGAACAGAAAATCACCATATGATTGGATATTAATAGAATTACTTTAATAGAAATGACTGATTATCCAAATCCATAAAATATCGATAGAACCAATATTGCTACTTATGAAATTCACTCATCATATTTCTATACCCATTTCTGGTTTCCCATTGAGGGTATGTGAGTTGTGGCAGCTGACACTGGGTTAGAGGCAAGGTACATCTTTGACCTCTTGTCAAATCTATGGAATACCTTGATTTCAACAAACATTACATTTGTATTGTCTGATCATCTGTATTTCAGTTTCAGGAGCTTGGTAGTTCTAACAACAGTAATTTGGGATTCCTGGAGAAAGGCACTGAAATGCTGCCATCTTGAGGGGTCTAAAACTATCTGCATGCCTGTAATTGACTAGCATAACGCAGAGCAGCTTAAATCAGAAAGAATATCCATCATGTATGGATTTTGTTTGGAGATACAAGTTAAGAAATGCATGTCTTTCCTTTAAATATGGTATTATGGTATTTGTCAACAGCGACTTACAGTAAACCATGAAAACCCTTCCAATGTTTTGCCTATATATAAGAACAAAATAAGGTCTTGCTGTACTGTAAACTATTATATAAATTCTACACAAAGACGTTGCAGTACTCCACACTTGTGACTTGAAACTAGGGGAAGCTGATAAGTTCATACAGTGACTTTCATAAGTGGGCATCTATACACAACTAACCTCATAAAAATGACTTTTAGGCAGGTACAACTGCAGTGGTCTTTCGAGGTTAGAAGCCCAGGCTGAGGAGGTGCAGATCGGGGAGTGTGTGGTGTGATGAGAGAGGCAGACAGCAAACAAAACCATCCATAGAGGAGCCCTTGACAGTTTTGATTATCCCTGTAATTACAGGGGGCTTTCATCACTTCACAGAGCAGAGCATAGAGGCATTATTTGAACGCCACACATTACCTCAGCTCTGGCAGGCAGCGCCCGGCATCCCTCACAATCTGACAATTAGTAGTGAGAGGGGGGGGGGAAATGCACATTAAAAATTGAAGTGACTATCACTGGCCACCCAAGAGTCCAAATACAGTGAGTCACCCTGTAACAAGTGCTCACTGTACCAACATGACCCCACTGTGCCAGAGAATGTTGTGCCTGTCCACTTGCATTTGTTAAGTCCTTATTAAAGTCCTCATGAAGGCAGCCGGCAGGCCCACCTACCTCGACTGTCCCAGTGGAATCTATTCTCGCGCTGCACTCATGTGGAAATAAGCCTGTTTACCACCGGCGGGTCACACATGCTAATGAGCGTCTGTTTGTTTTCCACTGTGCTCATGCAGGAGGAAGGGAATTTAGGGGGAAAATAATGGATGATACACAAACAACAACGCAGGTGGCTTTGCCTCACCGCATTGAATTCATAGACCTGAAATTGGAAAGGGAAACATCTTTAGTCAAATTGATGCTGCTGACGTCGGCCACATAGGCAAGCATGATATCATCTGCCTCTATTTGAAGATCAGGCAACTCGACACAGGCCTTTGTCTGAACACCTTGCTAAACTATGGACTTGAGCCTAAGTGTAGGTTTGTTCAATTTTAATGCTAAAGTCATTGTTCAAAGACTTTAGAGGCAAGTTCGCTCTCTCAGCTAAATCACATAATATTCACTCACAATATTGTCCTTCAGTGTCAGTTGACATTAGCCTATGTGCATCAGGGAAGGTAAAAAAAAAATCTAATTTGTAGGTTCAGACACTATTAAAGACATTTTTAATCTTAAACTACACTACTTCCATCATTAATACCACAAAGCTACAGCGAAACCTGGTCAACACGTGTTAGAAGACGTGACAAGCCATCTCTAAAAAATAGCATCTTGTACGGTCAGTGGATTTATCAGCACTACAGCTAATTATATATATATATTCTTTTGGGCATTAATTCTCTATTTTAATCTTTGTTTTCTAATCCCTTTGAAGTCTTGTGAAGTTGAATGAACATCAAATGTGTTACAATGCATGCAGAAAGAATGTGAAGTTTCAAGATCATCCGACTATGTGTGGCAACAAGATCAAGTAACTTTGCTTTTGATCTAATGTCATGGTTTGAGCAACAAAATTGGTTAAAGTTTATGTGACATTCTTCCTTTGATTTTTCGAGCCAACTACAAGCAGCTTATATAGGTACAAAGGGTGCAACAATTATGTTGAGCCTCAGTTGTTGGTGCATTTGTCAGAGAAACTGCTAAATTATATAATGTGACATCGGAGAGGATGGATGGCCTCAGCTTGTTAAGGCTGTGGATAGATTTGTATTTCATATCATATCAGAAATAAATCCCAGTAATTTAAGCTTCAGGGCAGAGTGTGAGGAGGACAAATCAGATGGCAATAGTAACAATATTAGCAGTGGAAAAAATAGGAAGGATAATTTTTTTGTTTTTGTTCTTTTCTTTTTACCAATAAATGTATACTATGTAGAATTCACATACCTAATCAAAATGAATAATAAAAAAAAAAATTAAACGAAGTTTAACGTTTCATATCCGGAACCAAGACTGTTGGTACATGGTGGAGATCGACTACTAAAAAAGGAGAAGCACCCGGATCTTCCGGTTGCTGAGAGGCATTTAGCACTCAAGCTAACGTCATTGGAAAATCAAAACATTTGACGGCTATTGCTCACTGTCGTGAGATTCCACAAAGTAAAGATGATTAAAGCCATATTGATTTTCAACAACCATGGGAAGCCGCGACTGATAAGATTTTATCAATATTTTGTAAGTATTTATGGGCTTTGGTGATGAAAATATTAGCGTATTCCTTTTTCCTTTCCAAAGTAGTGTAGTTTACACCTTTTTTTGCCAAAGGGCAACCAGTCACCACCTCCTAGATTGTTGGTGAAATATTGACTGTGAGTTTACGACTGTTTCGAAAAACAAAACAACAGCATACTGACGTTTGGATAAACTGTCAGCTGATGCTAGCCAGCTGTAATGTTGGAAGAAGCCAGTCAGTTCTCCTTGGGACTTTCTTAGTTCCAACTGTGTGTATCCAGACAACTGTCTGCACATCACTTTCAGGATGTATTTCCCCGGTTACCTCTATGCAACAGTTTCTTATGAGTCCCCAAAAATTGTGTTTAGAGTGCATTTAATATAATCGTTCATCTCTTTTAAGGATGTAGTTCTCATATGAAAAGCCAATAAAGAGACATCAGTTCTTACTCTGATTGTCTTCTTTCTTAGTATATATCTATATATCCACATGTTGGTAACATATGGATCATATGAACGTTCAAGTTAAGTGTAGGAATACGTTTTGCAGCAATAGACCACTCCACATGTCATGCCCACTGATCACCAACATTTTTAAACCCCAGTTCTGCTTAAACTGCTTCCTGAGCCTGCCAGAGCCAGTGAAACACCAGAAAACGGGTGGATGAATTTGAATAGTCTCTGTGGCCAAATTTTCTTCTCAGATTTCATGCTCTAATTGTAGCTTTGTTATTTTTGCTTTTAAGCAGACTGACATTTCCCATGCTGGTTAACACTAAAGAGGATTGTGGTGTGTTCCATTGCAGGCCGAAGACATGCAGCAGCAGATCATTCGGGAGACATTCCATTTGGTATCTAAGAGAGACGACAACGTCTGCAACTTCTTGGAGGGTGGAAGGCAAGTGTTGTCCTCTCCTTTCTGTTCGTATGTGGAAAATATCCACAAATATATTTATTATGTCTGATCACAGGGTATATTGCTTTGATGTAGTTGGACGAACCTCCAATTATAACTACTATAATCCTAACGGCCACCCTCACAGTTTACATTTTCTCCACAAAAGCTGACATCATTTGTCAGCACATATGAGCCAGCAGCAGAATAGAGTTGCAGTACCTTAGCTTTAACATTAGATGGAGGCAAACACACAGAGATGATACCCCACCTCTCTTATTCCATTTACAAAGCAAATTTTATTATGGCACACTTTTCTCTATTGTTCATCAAATAAAGCTGACATTTTCCTTTGACTGCACTATGTGAAAAAACTACGCTGCTTTGTCTTCTTAACTTTGAATTTATTTTTTATCTAATTTCTAAATTGCCTCCAGTCTCATTGGCGGCTCCGACTACAAGCTGATTTACCGGCACTACGCCACCCTCTACTTTGTCTTCTGTGTGGACTCATCTGAGAGTGAGCTCGGCATTCTGGACCTGATCCAGGTTAGCTGCTATTGTTATCTAATGTTGCCTCAAGCATCAAATCCTTTCAACACGTTGTTCACTACGAGGCAACAGGAATCTATTTGCAACCTTTTGACTACTTGCTTAATGGTTGTATTGGTGGTCATCACAAAGGTGATTAAGGGAATCAGCTTTGATAAGATTAGCATTGTTATCTCAGTTAAAAGTACATAGTGTTTTTAATTAGGCTGCTGTACAAAGTGCTGATCCACTTTTTTTTTTTTTTATCAGCAGTCAAATCTTTCTTATCTTTATTATTCCTTTGGGAAGGTTTGTTGTACTAAGATTGTTTTCTAATCACCATTACCTCAGCAGTTTTATAGCCACAGAGATGAGAGCTGGTAACATAAATCACTTCCTCTGTAAGATTGAATATCATCTGGAAACATTTTCTCTCTGACAAGAGTATTGTTTCTGCTGCAGGTGTTTGTGGAGACGCTGGATAAATGCTTTGAAAACGTCTGTGAACTGGACCTCATCTTTCACATGGATAAGGTGAGTCAGGGCTTTGTGTTCATTTGAAGTTGGATGCCTGGCTCTCTGCTTCTCAAACAAGTCTTCCCCCCTCTGTAGAGGTCAGATGATTTGATTGTATTTGATGCTAAAAATTAGGATTCGACATTAGCTGCTGATTTTACGGGACACGTCTATACTAACTGAACCATCACAGAACACTGTCATGTCACAAACTATGATCCTATCGGCTCAAATTTTGTGGGGACAAAATGAGACTGAAATGAGTCACATTCAGCAGAATGATGTATACCTCAACCACATATGAGCATTCGTCATTATTCTGAAAAAAGAAAACTGCTACTAAACAGAACACTGGTCCCATCTTCTCATCAGTTCTGGTTTGGATTCACATGAAATTGCTTTAATTTAAAAGTGAAGTTATAGTAACACTCCTTAAAACTGAATTTTCCAAATTTTCAAACATTTGCAGTTTCTAAATGAATTTCTTAATGATTTAGCCAGTATGGACAAAATAATTAAAGTCAATATAATGATAAGTCTGGTACCCACTTTTTTTATTCGATTACTCGTGTTTTCCTGGATGTTGGTCTCAAGTCATATATTGAATTATTGTTAGAAACTGAGCAGAGCAGGTCACAAAATGGATCGATGACATGGTTAAATGAACAGATCAAGGAAATGAAGTACATTTGATACCTCTGTGCAGACTAAATAACTATGGGTGGGCAAAAGTAGTCAGATGACTTGCTGTAGTTAAGGAAACTATAACGTAGCATCAGGAAATACAGCTGCTCTGAAATCTTATCTCAAGTGTCAGAACAACCTGCACTGATGTTTGTAATTTATGGACAGGCACCAATCCAGAGCTATTTGAAAAGGATGCCAAGTTCCTTTCAGCGCAGGCTTAGCATGTCATTGTTGTTGCAGCACAACAGACAAACAACAGAGTAAGCCTGGCTTTCATTATGACGTTAATTTGCGATGTGAAAAAAAGGTCCTTTTTTCCCTCCAGGGGTTCAAAAAAGAATTGTTTTACAAGTTAACCTGAAAGACTTATCGCAGTAATGTCTTCCTCAAGCCTCTTCTCCAGACTGCAACACCCAGCGGGAGACTAAAAGGGGCTTTGGTTTAGTTTAGACAGGCATCCAGTCAGGTCCATAAGTGACAATGATACATTTACTTATTGTACTTCATTTTAGCTTCATGCCAAAATGGATTGAAGTCACATAAAAATGACATGTGCTCAAGACGCACACACTCTAAAATACTCCTAGTTTAAATTCTCAGGGCACAGTTCAAATAATAATCTTTAAATCAGGTAATACAGACACTTTCATCCATCCATTTTTAAGGGAAAAACATTATCTTGGAACACTTCTAGGTCTTTTTTTTTGTTTGAACTGGCACAAACCTTTACATGGACCAAAGTTTGACCTGCTTAGATTTAGGTGGTCATGGAAACTGGGACCTCGCATAACATGTGTTTTCCTCTTTAACCCAGATTAGACATTTGGATCTTCTCTAGAAATTTCAGATTTTTCCCCTCAGATCATCATCTGTGGTTAGCTACTGCCCTTAAACGTCCTTCTTGGAAAACTCATCAGGACCATCCACAGCCATCTTGACTGAATTTTCCCTGCAGGAAATTGAAGTCATGTGGCACAGTGGGGTTTAGCCGGAGGAATGTTCCTAAGATGAAAGCTCAAAATACAAAAACCTTCTCGTCTAAAAGATCTGTCAGACACACGTGCAGGGGTTTGAGATTTGATCATGCATATAAATTCTGGGTGCTTGAACTAAGGTCTGCAGTGGATGACAGCTTTATGCTCTCTAAAATAGCTTGAGCCAGCAGAATTTCACAAATCCAAACATCAGAGTGGAGTAGAGCAGTGAGGGAGAGAACAGGGCTGTTCGATTTACACGTGGCCGTGCGTGACCCGCTGTGCCTTGTGCTCTTTCCACAGGTCCATTATATTTTGCAGGAGGTGGTGATGGGAGGCATGGTGCTGGAGACCAACATGAATGAGATTGTCGCTCAGGTGGAGATACAAAATCGTATGGAGAAGTCGGAGGTCAGATTTTCCATCCTAAATAAAACGTATTACAATTCAATCCATGTGTTCCAGCTGTGAGGGAAAGTCCAGCTGTGACATGCCAAGCTATGGGAACCCCTGGGGACCACTTTTTACATCCACAGTTCTGAATAATTGGGATTAAGAGTTGCCGTGATTGGTAAATCTCTTTTATCAAGATCACTTTTATCAAAGTGAGAGCATCATCCAAAATCTGTTGGTTTCGGTAAACAAAATGTTTCTGAACAGGTTAAAAGGGAACACATAGCCGGAGTAATACAAAGCAATTAATTAGGTTTGTTGGGAACAAGTTTTGCAACAGTGACAGCACCCTAAAGAAAGAGAGCCTCTCAAAAAATATGGCAACGGCTGGGGAATCTGCTAATTACCATCTGTGAATTGCGGAGCGTTTACAATATCTTGTTCTTCAGTTTAAACTGCATCCCGGTTTAGATATAGACCATGATTTCATTCAAAGATTAGTTTTTTTTCTGAGTAATCTCTGTGATTCTGATTCTGAGGAAAGGATATTGTCTAACAAAATTTATGTCAAATGCCTGTGATTTGATATAGCTCAATAAGATATGTTTACTTGATCTAAAAGAAACCAAACAATGTTATATCTGCAATATATACATGGCCAGTGGGGGCAGTGTGAGGCAGATATGACTAGATACAGGTTCAAGCGGTCTATTCAAACACTTTTTAAATCAAAAAGAAAGTCCAAACTGACATTTCTAAGATGATGCAGAGAAACAAATGCTGATCTTCTAACTTTTTCTGGACCCGAGTCCTCTGATGTGCTCCCTAGTGGACTCCTCCAGTAAAACCTGTAGGTCACAGGCAAGCATGATGAGAACACCACGACAGATGACGTTGTTTACATGAAAACAAAGGGAATCTTCATAAAAATACACATCTTTGGGAAGTAAACTCCTGTAAAGTGCTTCAGGTGTACATTTTAAACTTTATTTTTTTTCTCCCCGGGGCAGGGAGGCCTGTCAGCAGCTCCTGCCCGTGCCGTCTCTGCCGTGAAGAACATGAACCTGCCGGAGATTCCCCGTAACATCAACATTGGAGACATCAATATCAAAGTGCCAAGCCTCTCCCCGTTCTGAAGAGCATTCCTGTGGAGGCCCTGCAGGGCTGGTTAATGATACCGCTGATGCAATGCGGCCGCCCCCCCCGCCCCTCTGCCCTGTGGTCTAAATTGACTTTTTTTTTTTTCCTCAATAATGAATTGTTTACTATTGTATAGTGTTTATCCGTCTGTACTCCCGCAGCAGCTTCCTTTTCCTCTCGTGTTATATTTTTACATGTCTGAGAGATGAGCTCGTCTTTCCTGATGTCTACACGCTACAGATTATTCCGACTGAAGGATTTGCACAATAATGTAAAAACTGATTCGACGAAAGCATTAATATTTATGTCTCTGTATTTTCGGCTACTCTATAAATCTTTTGGATTCTACAGCCCGCCCTTTCAAAAACAAATCGAAACTGTTTTGGCCCAGTGCGTATTTTTTCCATCACAGCTCACAGCCTGTCACAATTGTCATCGTTGGGTCAGAAATAGGTTTTTTTGGGGTTGAATATTTTTGGCCTTTATTCAGTTTGATGTCGCTAGAATATTTGGCTTCTGTGTTTGGCAGTAATTACTCATGAGCTCTTGGCGTTTTGTCATGATTGATTTTCCCCTCTGTGTTATATTTTAGGACTATTGCATCTTTGTGATGAATGTTCCCGATGAAAGCTGCTCTCCTGGGAGCAGATTGTGCTCCGTGCATAGAGGGCAGAGGCTGTCTCGTCCACGCCACGTATGACTGTATGACCAACATCTGTTTCGGGACGAAATGTTAGATCTTAAAAGTGTTTCTGTGAAGTGTTTTTTGCGTCTCCTTTGTTGTAGCTAGTGGTCAGATACGATCAAACTCTGTTGAGTTTTGTTGTTAAATCCTATCTCAATTTTCAAGGAAAGGAGACATGTTTCAGTGTCAAAGACATTCCTTGCCAAAGCGAAATAAAAAAATAAGAATATTCTACTTTGTCGCTTCAATAAAAACAAGCCGGTATGTCATCAGGTTTGCTGAGGGTTGCCGGCGTCATGTGAAACTCGCCGGGCGCTGTTCCTCTGGGGATCAGGATTCTTTCAGCTCAGCCACAATGAGTTTGCTGTGTTGTTGATAAAGCCACATTCCTTCAGTCCTCCTTCCCGTTAACTTTGGGATTTTAGGGAACTGAGAAAGTTGTTCCCTCCCTATGTTGCAAGGAAAACCTGCGTTGGTTATTACCACCTCCCACTTCCACTCTCACAGATGCTGACTTGGAGCCGCTCACATCGGCCGTGGGCATTCCAGCTCAACTTCTTGTTTCCTGTGCAGACTTAAAATAGGGAATAAAGTGGACTTCCAGGGACGGGTATGTACTGTTCCCCCTCTTGTTTTCTATGGAACTATCTAAAATGTGGAGAATTTAAGCTTCCCCCACCCAACATACTATAATCACCTCTTAACATATTTTACAACTCTTCTGGTCTCAAAGTGAATTTCTCTCTGGGTTAGGCTGTTTTTGGCTGACTTTTCCTAAATGCTGCATCTGAATCCTGAAGGATTTATGATTGGGTTTAATGGATACTTAAATCTCTAATTTTCTAACCTCAGTCCTGTTGCACAAACTTTCCAAGTTAGACTTTCTGGTTAGGTTGTAAGAAAACAAGGGTGTGCATCGTTTTTCCGGCAGCTACAGTGTTTTGAACTGGTTTACCCTCATTCTTGCGGTTGGCTCTTCTATGTGTGAGCTCTGCAACTCTTAACAGCTTTTTGTATCTTATCTGTACTGTGCTTTTGGTGTGGAGCACAGTTTCCTGAACAGGCAGAGCGATGGATGTGTCAACAGGTGCAGTTCTGTAACTGTCACTTTTTGAAGATAGTGAAACCTAGTCGGCACAGCGTCAGGGATAAATTAAAAAAACTAAAACAGTTGTATCCGTACTGTGTTTCCTGAACTGCTCAGGCTAGTCGATTATTAAAAAATTGGATTGAAGCATATCTGCCAGTTCAAATGCAATATCCAAGCACTCAATGATGCACTCAAAGTGCATTGATCCTAGGGGAACCGCTTCATTCAATGGGAGGGTAAGTATTGCTTTTGTTTTCAAATTTTACTGCCACATTAAATTATGTCACTTTAAACCCAAGATAAAATGTACAAGCATGTCCTCGAAGGTATCTGTGATTTGTTTGCCTTGTGGTACACATTAACTTATTTTATGCCTTTAAGACATATTGGAATGAATCGTTACAGATTAATGAATTGGGATGAAGTGCTTATGGTCACTCATTTAAATATTTCATTCATAAAAAAAAATATTGCATGCATATGAGTCTAAACAGGTGCTCATAAAGGCAAATTAAGCTTTACAGTGTGCATTCCAGATTATTGCACTGTTTTGCAACACAAAAAACGGAGAAAAAAAAAACATATGTATCTTGTATCTAATAATATGACAAAATTCTCCTGCCAACTCTGCCTCGTTGGTGTCAGTTTGTTTTTTACAAAACAACTAACTAATTGCAGTATTTTTTTCTTCTTTACGTTTGTGTCATTTTTAAATCCCAGCATGTCTTCATTTGTGTGTTCCCGGCCTAAACAGAGGCCATCGTATTCAGATATATGATTTCCAGATGTTGTAGGGCCGTTGTGAGTTCACATGCCAGTAATTAAAGTGGATGTGTGTGTTGGTTCAGGTTCATAACTCTTGTTGTTGGGGCCTAAGGTTGTTTATACAGCTACATGCTGGCCAGTGTCTTATTAGTTTATAACTTACGCTGCAAATATATGGTCGATAAATCAAATTTTAAGCTAAAAACATCTTGTCGGGGGAGTTTTTGCTAAAAGTTGGGAAATATTTCAAAACATAGCTGTGAGTCTGGAAGTAAATCACAACAAAGAGATTTAAGTTTACACAGTTGCCACTTTGTGTTTATCTTCTCTAGATGAACTCATTAACTAGAATCACAGAGATTATATGATGTCAAAGAAAGTCTGGACAGAATTATATTTCATAATACTTATATAATTGTTTATCGGCCCCTCACCGCACGTGGACAGAGGATGTATTTGGGTTTTCATAATTTGGTTTTTCTTGTTTTACAAGAGAAAAACTAACAATGTCACAAATTTTAGAAAAAGAAGGCCTGCTTAAGATCACAAAGAGGAAAAAATCTCACGCCGCTTTAAAAAATCTACTGATGCTCTTATTGGCACAATTGTGAGTGTTTTCAGTGACAAATGTCTGTTTTTGAGTATAAAGGAAGGAAATGTATTGACCTGGAAACAGAACTGCGTGCTCTGCGTTTTGCACAGCAGATGGTACAAGACAGAACTGACCCAGTATGATCTGGGTTCACGTTTTCTTTTTTCATGTCATATCTGTTTGTTCATAGGTAGAGATTAGCATGACTGATAATAACATGTGATTACCAGAGTGAGCAGGGGGAAAGCAACCTTGTGTCAGGGCCAGAAAAATGCACTGGAGATATAGTGAACCAAGATGTTATTAAAGTTTCTACTTCAAGCTACATTACAAAAACAGCCATGACAGTGGTACCTAGGGTATATGAATTAGTAAACAAAATCAATGTAAAGTATTCTTTTCCATTGTTATGGTAGTGCAAACACATGGATGGGACTATGAAGTCATGACATGGCAATAGGTGAGCTCCAGCTGCTAAATATCAATAAGCCAGTGAGTTCATTTGTTGGATTATCTTCCTGGACTGTATTTCTTGCATAATCTCCCAGATGTAGACTGCAAACCAGTCCGGGTGAAACGTTACTTTGGAAAAAAAAAAAAAAAGCACTGCATACACAGACTGCAACAAAAAGGGAGTACAAAAAAGAAAAAACGTTTTAGTATTAGGCCAATCTATGAAGGCAATGAAGGGGGGGCAGCAATAATAGAGGGCCCTGGAGCTGTTTATTCAGTATTGTTAAGCTATCTTGGAGCTCTCTCTATATTGCTGATATTTTTCCCAACTATAAATCAGAAGAAAGACAAACAACTCCGTCCCATTTTACGCTGACAAAGGAAAGAGAATTTTGAAAGCAAAGGGTGAAGAGAAAACTTTTTAACAGTACTCTTCTGTCACCGCTTGTGGATTTGTCACAGATGGAGGAGGATGAAGGATGATGGCACTTGATGATTTATCATCAAGTGCCATCAAGTGCCATTAAAAGGCAGGGTAGAGCCAGTTACAACATCAAACTAAATGCGGAGCAAAAAACAAAAGAACCGACTCCTCCGGGAGATGTAAAAAGGAATAAACACCAAGTATCAGCACCCTAGGAAAAAGAATGGGGTAAAGTTAACAGCGAGGTTCTGGCAAGCAGTAAGGAAAAAAACAAAAAAGAAGTTTAAATACATGACAAGGTGATTACTGAGGGGAGGCAGCTGGGGAAAAAGCTTATTTGAAGGAATTTAAGCTGACAACTAGACTGGAGGGGAAGTTAGGAACTACAGGTGATGAATAGAAAGTAGATCAGGGGTGTCAAACACCGGTCTTTGAGGAATGCTGTCCCGCAGGTTTCGGGTCTTTTTCTTCCTCAGCACACCTGTTTCCCATCAGCGTGCAGTTATCAGGCCTGTGCAGAGATAAACAATGTTATGAACAGACTAATTCACTGTTAGAGGAATTGGGTGTGCAAATGCATTGAAGCGTCTGAACCAGCAGCAGCATACCAGCAGACCCTTGAGGACTCGGGTTTGACACCCGTTAACTAGATACAAAATACAAACCAGCCAACAAATTTGAGCAAAATTTAATAAGAGAATGCCTTAGAAAAACTGTAGAAACTCAAAAGGGAAAATGCACCAAATCAGACAGAAATCACAACCAGAATTGCAAGAAAGGCTGAACAAACTTAAATCTACAAAATTAAAGTGTAGGCGCATTTTATCACCACAAAGCATATTTTTTCTTCAGTCTTTCTGCCAAATTGACATGTTCGGTTGCCATTAGTCACACATGCTTTGTCTGTGTCAGCCCACCTGTGCATATAACTTTGCTGACCGCCAACATTTCTTGTTGAGTTACATGGAAATGATTTATAGTACTTTGCTCTGTAGGTTGCCATCATGCTAAAGTTGGAGAAGATTTAACACGATTTCAAACATAAAATGTATCCGGGTTTTTTTTCATTCTCTGAAGCCGCAAAATATCAAAGGGGGCATGAAAATCGGCACAGGAGGATTACTTAAAGTGAATGACTGAAATGCTGTGATGTTAAAAAATATCAAGCTATACTTGAAACAGGGTTGATGGCTGATCATTCCAATTTTCAATTTCTCCTCAGGTGTGAAGAAGAAGTCTTTTTTTTATGTAAATAGCTCATCTGTTAACTGAGAAAAGAAGAGCCCTGCTGTGCCAGGCCAACAGGGACCGGGACCCCTCGGAGTTCTGCGTTAACCTCCTGGATCAGACATGGGAACGGTCTACTATGTCAGCAAAAACATGGGCCTCGGGATCCTTGTGCTGGCGTTCAGTGCGTTGGCCACAATCATTGCTCTATCCATCGCCTATAACAAAGAAAGGGCCAAGAATCGAGGCAAACTGGAAGGTGGCGCGTCAGACTCCACCACCTCCATGCCCCCCACTGGCCCCTTCACCCCGAAGGAGCCCTGGGACCACTTCAGACTTCCAGACTCCCTCATCCCCGTCTCTTACAACGTGACCCTGTGGCCCCGGCTGGAGCCCAACGCAGATGGCATTTACGTTTTTACCGGTCACTCGACTGTGGAATTTCGATGTGTAAGGGACACCGATCTCATCATCATCCACTCCAACAAGCTGAACTTCACAACCTTCTTTGGGCACCACGCTGAACTGAGAGCTCTGGATGAAGCCACCGTGCCCAGCATACAGAGCAGTTGGCTTGTGGTAAAGACCATGTATCTAGTTCTCAAACTGAGCAGCAGCCTCTCGAAGGGAGCCTCCTATGTCCTATACACTGAATTTATGGGGGAGCTGGCAGATGACCTGGAAGGATTCTATAGGAGTGAATATGTGAAGGATGGTGTGAAGAAGTAAGAAAAGGCCCCGGTGTCGTGCCGGTGCTGACCGTGACCCTTTATTCCTGTCGCCCTAATGATTGTCTTTTCCAAACTTTATCCGATGGATGTCTGTTTGGTGCTCATGTTTGCTGGTGACATTTTGCAGAGTAGTCGCTACCTCCCAGATGCAAGCCACGTATGCCAGAAAGACCTTCCCTTGCTTTGATGAGCCAGCCATGAAGGCCGTCTTCAATGTCGTCATCATCCACAGAAGAGACACCGTGGCCCTGTCCAACAGCATGGAAATTGGTTTGTTTTAGAAACACTCTAAATGTTATTATTTCTTGCGGGTTAAGTCTCAGGGAACTACAACTCTAAGACGACTCAATACCGCATGCGTTGGTATCAAGCATGGCAGGGACCTGTCACAAGGGAATAATGACTGATCTTGAAAATGCGATCAATTCCAGCGAGACGCTAAATTATTCATTGTCATTGTTTTTTTTTAATGAAGATTTTACTGTTATTCCTCCCAGAGGTGTATTACGGTCTAGCTCTTTGTCTTTGTGTGCAGACTCCTCAGATTCTCTCTTTGACGGCGAGCCTGTCAGAATCACAACGTTCGAGCCCACCAAGAGAATGTCGACATATCTGCTTGCATTTATTGTCAGCGACTTTGGGAACATTGGGTCAAAAGACAAAGATTTACTGGTAAGAAATACCGTGTTTGGGTTTAGTTCTCACCTCCATTACCAGCGGGGCCTTCATCTCAGATCACAGCAATACAAACGCCCAACAAGCGTGTTGCTGTGAACACGGAGCAGGACAAAGACCCTTCTCTCCTAGATCCTCTGTCCAAGGCGTTAAGATTTTTAATTCCTTGCAGATCCGAATCTGGGCTCAAAAAGAAGCCATAGATGATGGTCAGGGCACCTACGCTCTCAATGTTACGAGGCCAATCCTTCAGTTCTATGAGAAATATTACGGTACAAAGTACCCACTCTCCAAGTCTGGTAAGCCGACTCAGCATTGATCATGTACAGCAACACTTTCCAGTAAAGAATGTATAGATTGTTTTTAAATGAGCAGGACTCAAAGGTACGTAACCGCTGTTCTGCACAGATCAGATAGCTCTGCCTGATTTCCACGCTGGAGCAATGGAAAACTGGGGTCTGGTCACATACAGGGAAACAGCCCTGCTTTATGACCCCACACTTTCCTCTACCGGAAACAAAGAGAGGATCACAACTGTTATCTCCCATGAGCTTGCACACATGGTATGGCATTGTTTTATTTCCCCAAACACTGTCATTGCACAGGGCCAATTTTTGCCATCCTTAGTCAAAGTGAATGAAATAGAACCGCCTTGAACTTATCAAAACGTTCCTTTCTCCCCATTGTGTCGTATATTTGCTTTCAGTGGTTTGGAAACTTGGTGACGCTGCGATGGTGGAATGATTTATGGCTGAACGAGGGCTTTGCTTCATACGTAGAGTACCTCGGTGCTGACTACGCTCAGCCCACCTGGAACATTGTGAGACCGATGCTTATGTCCTTAAAGACAGCTTTGATGTACTTCATAAGAGAAATCCCACAGCTCAATGGCGATTGACAGTTTTTCTTGGCTCAGGAAAATTGCCCTGACTGACCTCTCTGCTTGGATACAGAAAGACTTCATTATCCTGTACGACGTGCAGAAGGTATTTGCTGTGGATGCCCTGGCTTCCTCATACCCTCTCTCCCGCCCAGAGGAGGAAATCAATGAACCTGCCGAGATCAGCCAGATGTTCAGCACCATCTCCTACAGCAAGGTCTGTTCATCTGGAGGGTTTCGCACCGAAGACCTACATTACATGGGATCGTATGCCCAAACATCAGCTTAAAAAATAAATAGATAAGAAATAAAACAACAACAGACAAAATGAAAAATCTGAGGCCAAGGTGATAAATATCTCGGAGATGAGTCCATGCCTAGTGCGGTTGTTGTAATACAAAGCTGGTTTTATCATTCACATAATAGACCTGGTTTGGTCTATTAAAAAAAAAAAACAAGATAAAAAAACCATTGAAGGGTATCAGAAAAATATGCAGTGTTCATCTCTTGATCTTCTTAGGGTAGACAACATGTTTTTAATATTCGCTGAGGATTCGGGGTAAAAACCTTTCCTGGTATGAGAGGATCAAACCACCCAAATTCTGATGCTTTATTGTCGGGTTGTTTTCAGGGAGCTGCGGTGCTCAGGATGTTGTCAGAGTTTCTCACCGAGCCTGTGTTCGTCAGAGGACTCAATGTGAGTATCAACTGAAAAACGGGGTCTCTGGGTTTGCTCGCTGCAGTCGCATGGTGTGTATGTGGGTGTCTCAGCTTACTGTTGGTGAGTGTGGTTGCTCAAGCTCTGTTCGCTGAAATCTGGATTGGATGCTTCCTGAGTGAATACTTCACATGCTGCTCCTCACTGTTTTTCTCTTCAGTCTTACCTCAACACTTTTGCCTTCAACAACACAGTGTATACAGACCTGTGGGACCATCTCCAAAAGGTGAGTCTAGTTAAAGAAATATTGAATTCGCAGATGTGCCATGGAACATTTCACCTGGCAGTGTCGACGCGACTGTGTTAACCCCATCTGTGTCCTGCATTTGTGGTGTCAGACAGTTGAAGACACGCCGGATTTGCATATTCCACAAACCATCCACAGCATCATGAACCGCTGGACCCTCCAAATGGGCTTCCCTGTTGTGAACATAGACACCCGAACAGGAAGTGTCTCCCAGAAACACTTTCTATTGGATCCATACTCTGTGGTGAACAGGCCGTCCCAATTCAAGTAGGAACCTGTTCAACATGAACTTTTTTTCATGTTCATTGTAATGAATTAGGATATGAAGTCTTTTTGGATGAATGAACACTGAAAATAAACCATGAATTTCTGGGTATTGGTTTAAAATCGTACCAAAAAAGTATAGGGCTCTTAATCAACTTGTTTTCAAACCCCCAAAACTTAATCCACAAATCAATGAAAAGCCTAAAACGTTTTAGCCCCTTTTTCTGATTTCCTTTTTCTTTGTGACACGTTTAAATACCTGAGCAAGCAACTTTTATTCCACTTACACAAATAGGAAATCAGGTTCACATCATCAATCACCCCAGTGATTTAATTCCAAAAGAAACAACACAATATTCTCAGATTAAACTGTATGTATGGCCTGGTATTGATCCATATCATAGGAAATATCTTGTCACAAGTTAGGTTTTCATACGGCTGAGCTTGATAAAACATGTCACCACAGAGAAGTCAACTCTGATTTCCAGCTGAGAAATCATGACAATAACAAGAAATCATATTAACTGGGATTAGGCAGCATAACACATGAAGGGAGAATATTAACTGCTTACATCAGATTTCCTGATATTTTCCTGATATTTTCTGAAAAGCAAACGGATTGGGAAAACTGATTTTGCCTTTCTTCTCTTAAATTTTGCCAGTTACACGTGGTTTGTTCCTATCAAATGGATGAAGAATGGTGTGGAGCAGCCACTATACTGGCTCCTTCAAAAGACAGGTACGCTTTCTGTTATGGCCACTGCACTTCAGCGTTAAATCTTTATGGTGGTGGAGCAGGTTGGTGGACTTTAGCACAAGTCCTTAAGCTAAATAAACAAATCACATATCCTCCCAGACACCAACAGTCAGATGAGAGTCTCAGGAGGCGACTGGGTGCTGGCAAACACAAATGTTTCTGGATACTTCAGAGTGAACTATGACCTCGAAAATTGGGATCGTCTCCTCTCTTTGCTAAACACCGACCATCAGGTCTGTCGCACGCTAATCACTGTGCAGCTGAATCTCTTGATCTCAAATGTTGTATTCAATTTTTACGTTGTATGAAAAAAAAAAAAACGTCTGCAGAGTTTGCGGCTGCTTAGCCAACAAAAATCCAAAAGGTTTGCTGGATGAAACAAAGCATAAAACAAAGCTTCTTTTCCAGAAGCATCTGGTTTTACTTTACAGTCTCCGAATTTGGCTCTATTTGCAGATTCCAGCATTTGGCTCTACCTATTTAAAACTGTGCTGACTTTGCTGACTGCCATGCTTAATGTAATGTTTTGATTGCTCATTCATTAGGAATGAGTGGACTGAAAAAACAAAACAAACAAAAATGAGTAACACTTCACAATTCTCAGAGAGTCATGCTGATTTTCTGACGCATGTCTTCTCCATTCATGCAGGCTTTATCGATCCTCAACCGAGCACAGATCATAGATGATGCTTTCAATCTGGCAAGGTAGCAATAAGAATGACAATAAAAGAAACACTTTGCATAATGTGTGTTTGCAATGGAAACAAACCTTTTGTTTCTCTTTTGCAGAGCAAAAATAATCACCACGTCACTGGCTCTGAGAACCACAAAATACCTGTCAAAAGAGAAAGAATACATCCCCTGGGAATCAGCTCTGAGAAAGCTCGACTATTACATTATTATGTTTGATCGCACTGAGGTCTATGGAGCTTTACAGGTTACTATAAATACTGATATGGGTTGTTATTCTCATATAAAAATGTTTAATAGTTCATTCTAAAGAGTAAAAATGGTGCCTCTCTGTTCAGGCATACCTGAGGAAACAGATCAAACCCCTTTTTGAGTACTTCAGGACAGTTACCAATAACTGGAAAGACATCCCCACACGGCACAGTGATCAGTGAGATGTCTTGCAATGGCAGATTCAATGCTCGAGCAGTTATTGGACATTTTTTGCTAGTTCTATGTATCCTGTTTCTTCACAGATACAATCAGGTCAAGGCCATTGGGGTGGCGTGCAGCATGGGACTGGAGGGCTGCAGGGACCTGATGAAAAGCTGGTACAAAAAGTGGATGGAGAATCCGAGTCATAACCCGTGAGTGCAGAGTGATTTGCTCCTTCATTTAGTTCAGACATTGAAAGTCATTTTGCATCAAATTGTGGGCATTTTAGCAATCATTAAGCAATGATTTTCTTCCCTATTCCCTCTGACTAGGATCCATCCCAACCTGAAAGGTACAGTTTATTGCCACGCCATAGCGCTCGGGGGTGTGGAGGAGTGGGACTTTGCCTGGAGAATGTTTCAGAATGCCTCTCTGGCGTCTGAAGCCTCCAGGCTCCGGTCGGCCATGGCGTGCACCAAAACACCATGGCTTCTGAATAGGTATGTGCAACATCTCTGTAGATGAGAAAAACTTTATGAAATCTACAACATCAGCAGCAAGTCTAATGCACAAACCTGTTTGATTTAGACTCAGGTAGTAAAATCTGTGAATAAATTAAATGTAAAACTTAAAAAAAAAAAAAGGCAACTACCGACTTGAAAATGATGCCAGGAATAAAACAATGTCACATATTTATCTTGAAATCGCTGGCCGCTGGGAGGCAACTTACTCTGATAATGTTGTTTATAGTTGTTGATATTACAAGTTTTCTCCCCAAAAGCAAAAGCTTAATGGTGGTGTGTGATTAATGGGGGACTTTTTGGAAAATTCTTGGGAAATTTGTTGAGACAGATATCTGGAGTACACCCTTGACCCGAAAAAGATTCGCAAGCAAGACGCCATCTCTACCATCAGTAACATCGCCCGCAATGTTGTGGGATTGCCCCTGGCTTGGAACTTTGTCAGAGAAAAATGGAGTTACATCTTCGAACAGTAAGTTCCCGACTAACTCACAGTCGCACAGACTGACAGTTCACACAACGCACACATGTGACATCAGGAGCAGTCTCTGTACACACTCAATTTTGTTGTATAATCTGTCCAAGGTACGGAAAAGGATCCTTTTCCTTCTCCAATCTGGTCAGCGGGATCACAATGAGATTCTCCACAGAGTTTGAGTTGCAGGAGGTATGCGGCCCACACAGCCACAGTCGGCTACATACTGAGTTGCCCTGGAGGCATTTAGAGGGAGAGAAACTATAACAAATGCCGAGTTTTCGGATGATGTTGTTTTTTCTTCTTTTTTCTCCAGCTGAAAAAATTCAAGGAAGACAACCTCCATGTTGGCTTTGGCTCGGGCAGCATTGCCCTGGAGCAGGCCATAGAAAAGACCAAAGCCAACATGAAATGGGTGGCCGAGAACAAAGCCGAGGTGCTGAAGTGGTTTACTGAGGAGGCCACATGAGAACGCAGAAAGCCATGATGACTTTTTTAACGACCGATGATCACTACAATCATCAGGAGCCACAGAAGTTAAAGAAAAGGACTTTCCCGCCGTTGTGAGACAGTGCCTCGCTGGACGCCATCGTCAGGTCAAAGAAACAAGCCCAACTTTGTTTTGTTCTCTGAACTCTTCATGTTATGAGTTGTACATTGCTATGATAATGCATACAAGCCGCATACACTAGGCACTGAACCGACGGGAGCCTTCTGAGGTCTTTGACTGTGATTCTGTACATAGCCTGCAACATTACCTGTGGCTGTAAATACTGTGACCGACGGCATGCCGACTGACTTTCAAATTAGAACCGCCTTTCAAATTGGTTCTTTTGAATAAATCTGGACACTTGCCCCGTTTGTGCGTGTATTCATTTGTAAACGTCACTTTACTGATTTCAAATCTGCCATTTCCCATTCATCTCTTTAAAGAAATGCAGGTAAAAAACACCCTGTTTGTCAGCTCCTTATAGATCAATTATATCCTGACATAGAAAGGTTAGAAAAAATCATATGGTTCTAAACCCGGGCACTCCTCTCCCCAGTTTATCTGATCCTGGGGTGTCCCAAGACGTTCCCAAGCAGTAGTATACTGGTATAAAGCGCTTTGTCTAAAACAAAATCACCAAACCATCTGCTATCATCTGGCAACAGTTTTGTTTCCTATTCCAATTTCCCACCTTTAGAACTCTGAATTCATCTTTGTTCATAAAATGACCCAAACACTGAGCAAACGCTCCATATTTCTTGGATATCTGCAGCCTAAGATGGAAGCCAGGAAATATAATATCCCTCAGGAATAATCATTCCACATCAGTCAGTGAGTTGACAGAATAACTTTTTCTCAAAACTAAATGTCTTTACATCTGGAATCCCTTCCTCTGCGGCTCCCAAAAATTCAATTAAACTTCATTTTTTTGGGGCGTTCTGCTCATTTTTTCAAACTTGATGACAGACAAATAACTCCACAAGGCTTACTGAAAACCCTCTTGACATTCACAAATCCCACATCTTGCCTTGCTTTGGGAATCTTCTTGGAAGTAGACTCTTTTTAGGAATCCACAACTCTGATTCAGGGGCCGGCAGCTTGTTTCAATCTGATTAGTTTCAGGGGTGAGGCGCTTTCTTGTCTGCGCTTGTGGTGTTATGTAAGGTTACATTCTTCTGCCGGACTCCTGTTCCCTCTCAGTATATGTGAACAGCGAGATGCCAGGAAAAAAAACTTGTCTGCGCCTGTTCGCTTGTTTGCCCGACACGGAAAAGACATTACAGTACATGTGTATGTGTGTGTGTGTGTGTGTGTGGTTGGGGGGGGGGGGCTACATTAATAATAATTATTGATTAAATTAAATTAAATTAAAACAGTGTACCATAAAGAAACTATTTTTGGGGGGAACTGTGCAATCCAGTCTTTTAGAAATACTTTGGTGCTTAAGTATTGTTTTGTACATTCTGTCTGCGTTTGTTTGTCTGCTGCCACTTTAAAATAGCGAGCAACTGGAAATCATAGCAAGTCAGTCATTCTCCTAATTTGATGAGAAGCCTTTCTGTCTTATGTTCCATCCTCTGGCGTTAGATTTAAGAATACTAAATTTCAGTCTCATACTTCATGCAAGAACAGGATCCACTGGACTGTGAAGCCTTCAATAACTGTATGATATATGTTTAAAACTACTGTAATGATAAAAACAGGTAAAACAGACTTGTAATGAAAGGTGAAATACAGATTTGTTGCTTTTTGCTAAATTAAAGGCGCCAGTGCCATTATTCCTCAGGGCAGGACACAACAAGTTCCCGTGGGTCATTAGTTGACAGTAAGTGTATATGCTGAGTTACAGGATTGTGCAACATCCTGCCGCAGCTTTCCAAAAGAGAGCGCAGTTTGACGGACAGCTCCGCTCTACGACAGCGTTCTGGGATCTGTTTGAGAAAAGGCCGCTGAAACCTGTGCGGCAAAACTGACTTCTATCAAGGTGAGAAAATGATATTTTCCTTACGGTGACAGCAAGATGCTTAAGTTTCGCGGGGTGTGAGCATCTTCATGTGTGTGATTGAGGTGTTTTTTCAACCCCTGCCTTCTGTCCAGGTGTGCAGGCTTTAAATCAGCCTGGTGTGAAAAATGTATGAGGGCGTAATAGACATCATATGTACAGTGAGATCAATGCTGGAGCAGGCCCTTGCATGTTCTGTTAATGTATAGAGACAGAATGTGATTTTCCCAAACCTTTTCCGAAAAGTAATGTATTGAATCTGTTTTATAAAAAAGTCTCAAAGCAGTTACTCTTCGATGCCAAGAGGATTTCTAGTCATTATTTCAGAGGCTGGTAAACAGTTTGCATAAATCTGAGATGACCCTTTAAATGAGTTCCTGCTATTATTTGCCTTTGCATTTTTGCCTGTTCGCTGCGTTACCTTTTGAGATGCCTCTTGATCTTGACCAGTTCACTTTTGCCCATTTGAATGTATTTGATATCATTATCAGAAGCATGTCTACATAAGGTCTGATAGCTCAGTGTGTGCAGTGTGACAGACCTGTGCCTCTCAGAAAGGCCTACAGGCACGATCTGCCGTATCGGAGGACAATACAGGAATGTTTTGTCTGAATTTTCTGCAGAAAAGACCGCAGTGCTAATTCGTTCCTATGCCTGGATTCAAACGGAGTATCACGGGCTGAGGGATTTTGAACTGCCAGAAAAGCAACAAGTCGGTGAGGACAGAGATTTAAATCCAGAGTTTCTTTGTGAAGACAGCAAAACGTTATAAAATGACATCAATCAGTGCAGCAATCCACCAGTCTGCCTTTTAAGGTCAGAGGAAAAAAAACCTTCTTTGTGTGACAACTAAATTCATGCAGAAAAAATACATAAATGGGAATTTGTCAAAATGCATTCTAGCAATTTTCTATACATGGACAGTTATCTATTCTGGACTGTTGGGGCAGTTGTTATTTAAAATTGCATCACAGTAGGGGGTGCGGTTTATGATGCTCTCTTACAGCTGGAAATGCAAGGTTGGAGTGAGATATTCTCTCTAAAAGCTACATAAATCAGGATGTGTGTGATTTACTGTGTTCAAGTTTGAGTTGAGATCGTACCACAACTTGAGGATCGCTGTCTCAGCACTGAATGTTTAAAAACCTGCACAACGCGTAATGTTTTAGTCCATTTCAGAACACATACAATGGAATGTGCATGCTGCATAAACAGTTGCCTAAGTATGAGCACACGGGTCACTCATTTCTTGAGATCTGACAAAAAATGGATGACCACGCATTACTGCATCATGTAACAAACACAACAACACAACGTGTGTACTGTGGACACTGACTGCTTGTCTGATGTCTCATCAAGACGATAAGAGCAAAGTTCCAAGTGAGTGACGCTCCACAAAGTTGTCACTGACTTGTTATGGCACTGGCCATGACCTGTTGTTGAGATAAGAACATCGAGCATCAGGCGTGTGCTGTCAGTTCAAACACGCCAGCACCCGCTTTTCATTAAAGAAAAAGAAAAACCTGTTTTAGGAAAGCAGTGGAAATTCAAGGTTTTACTAACAAGGTCTTTACAAAGTTTACGCTCCAGTCTAAAATCCATTTTTAGGATATTGCAGGATTTGACGTTCCTTCCTCTTCCTTTTCGTATAGCCGGATCTGTACACGCTTGAGATTTTTGAAAACTGCACATGCACATGCAGAACGGACAGTTCTGCTGCGATCAGAATTTAACCTTTTGAATAAGCGGACACATCACTGGCCAGCTGTTGAATGTAACCATCATTCAGAGCCATTATGGAGATAAAGAGATGAACTCGTCCTTATCTCAAGACTTTCCGGCTACTAAGGGGTTGTGGACTTTCAGCAGTTTTGGCTACCCACAATTTCAATGATTAACTCTGGGCCGAATCTCAAAAGGCAGGGCATAAATTGCAGTAACTCACAAACTCTTGTCTTCTTTTCCGGTGAAGACATGGGGAAAGGCTTCTACATCAGCAAAGCGGTGGCCGGAGTGTGCGCGGTTGCGGCCGTCGGGGCCGTAATAACCATCATAGCCCTCGCTGTGGTGTACTCACAGGAGAAGTCTAAGAACGTAGAGCCCCCAACAACCACGGCTGGACCCAGTACGACGCCCTCCACCCCGAAAGAGCCCTGGCAGCGGTACAGACTTCCAGACTCCCTCTCTCCCGTCTCCTACAACGTGACCCTGTGGCCCCGGCTGACGCCCAACGCTGAAGACCTCTACATCTTCACCGGAGAGTCCACGGTGGTGTTCACCTGCGTGAAGGAGACCGACCTCATTCTAATCCACTCCAACAAGCTGAACTTCACCAGTTTCGACGGGTTCTTCGCGAAGCTGACGGCCCCGAGCGGACTCCCCGTGCCCGGCCTACAGAAGACTTGGCTGGAGGTTCCCACGCAGTTCCTGGTGATCCAGCTGACCGGCCCTCTGCAGGCCGGCCAGACATACCAGCTCCACACCCAGTTTGTTGGAGAGCTGTCCGACGACCTGGGAGGCTTCTACAGGAGTGAATACTTTGAAGATGGAGTCAAAAAGTACGATCTTGCTTTAATCCGATATATATTAGTTTTCTACTTTTGTGTTCTTTTTTCTGCAATTGAAAAAAAAAATAACACAGAATTTATGTTACTTATTTTCTTTCGTGCTAAGAATCAAATGGTAGTAATAATGTCGTGTCTGTGCTTGATCAAAACTAATAAATGCCAACAGGTTGAATTGGCATGTTGGTTGCCCGCTGACTAAGGCAGAGTCATTGTCTACAACAATATTGCGCTTTACCTGTTTTGTAAAGTCTGTTGAAATTGCAGACCACCACTCCTGGTCAGTGGCCAAAGAAGGACAGCTTGGTATATTTAGATTGAAAAAACGATTGAAAACTTTCAATGTTTAGATGTTTCATGTGGATTTTTAAAGGCCCTGCTGCCCACCATTATCATTTCTCATAGCTTTCATGTTACAGACCTTGACTTAAGTTGAAGTGGTGGAAAAAATCAATTGAAAGAAAGAAAGAAAGAAAGAAAGAAAGAAAGAAAGAAAGAAAGAAAGAAAGAAAGAAAGAAATATCAGCAACGTCACAGAAAAGTATGCCAATATGTTAAACAGGGGCTTAACGGGGGCACAAATGTATCTCCTTTAAGGGAAGATCCTCTGTGGGTCACACTGTGTTTTCTTTTAATGTCTCCCCAAAAAGCACTTTCTCTGATATTTCTAACTGGATTTTCAGTGGATGTGTTTTGAAAATACTACGAAATTAGAAGCTAATTTCTGGAAGCCAATTAGAAGCTAAACCACACAGTTGCGGAAAGTTAAATAGAAGAAAAGTCCCTCAGCTTCTGTGGCTCTGTAAGTAGTTTAGTGAATTACCCATTTATACTGGGATGTTAGAGAGCAGGGTTTGAGTCTTTGTAAAGTCCATAACTGAGGATATCAGAAAAGGGGATTCTTTGTATTTCGGATATTGACTGCTACAAAAATATTGTTACAGTGATCCCTAGACAGTGAGAAAGTGTGGGAGTGTCAAGGACACATACTTTTCGGAGTTTATGGTGATTTAAATCAACATTTGTGCACCACTGCTGAACAACAACAACCCAAGAAGGAAATAATCGGTGTCAGGCTGAATGACGAGACCAGGGGATTTTCTCAACTTCACAATAGACTAATTATTGAGTTTTCTGCTTTGTCAGAGTTGTGGCAACAACTCAAATGCAGCCAACAGATGCCAGGAAAGCCTTCCCCTGCTTTGATGAGCCAGCCATGAAAGCTGTCTTTCACATGACTCTGATTCATCCCCATGAGACTGTGGCTCTGTCCAACGCCCTGAACCACGGCAAGTCCCACTTCCTGTCCTGGTGTTAGGTGCAATGTGTACCCTTTAGGCAATACCATCCATTCATCCCTGCATTGTTTCTATCAATGACGGCTGACTTTCAGAGCTAGTTTTTTTACCAATTAAAAAAGTTTTGGATAAAAGCAATGATCGCTTAGCACATTGTTTGCAGGTAAATGTGTATATGTGCTAAATCTATCTATCTATCTATCTATCTATCTATCTATCTATCTATCTATCTATCTATCTATCTATCTATCTATCTATCTATCTATCTATCTATCTATCTATCTATCTATCTATCTATCTATCTATCTATTTTTCATTACTTTATGTATTCATTCATTTATGGTATGCTGAATCTTTTTTATGTATGTCAGTGTTAAGATCTCGTTATCACGGCTGAAAATGTTTTCTGTACTCCACATAGACCCTGTCAATATAACAATGGATGGACAGAGTTTGATTAGGACCAGCTTTGAACCCACAGAGGTTATGTCGACCTACCTGCTGGCTTTTGTTGTGTGCGACTTTGCGCACATTGGGACCAACCCCGGCGCAGATGTTTTGGTAATTATTTCTCCACACACCATCAGAGCTGTGCAAAAAGGAAATGATTATAGATCTACATCGTTTGAATGGATGTTTTATTCGCGGCCGTTCTTTGCCCATGATGTCATGTTAATCCAGACAAACAATCTGCTGTGGAACAGAGGAGCACACCACTGCCTTTACACAACTCAACTTTACAGAGCCAAAATAATGAGCTGAATAATTTGCTTAAAAAATGTGCAAAGTGATATTAATCTGCGCTGTAGTTTGAAATGGTTAAATGACCGCACGATGGAGGACGCTGAACTTCTCAGAGACATTTACAGCCCTCATCAGAAGGAACAGTGCTGCTTAATTGGTGGAAGAAATGTATTATCCTTGAAATTAACTCAGCACATTGCTTTTTCAGGTCCACTGTGAACCTCATCCTCTACTTTCGTACATTAAACCTGGACCAGAGTCTCACACCATTTAAACTGTTGATTGTTTTCCATTCTGAATCATTATTGGCCATGTGATTTAACAGCGTATTCGATCTGCTGCAGCTATTGAAATGAGCAGCTAAGTGATTTCCCAGGAAGAATTTTCAATCAAAAAGTCAAATGTATAAAGCTGGGTTATTATTAGGAATTAGGAAACAATTATCCTGGAGATTGAATCCCCCCTGCATTCCCAGCTTTACTCAAACTGCCTTGGTGTGTGTCTATGCTGCCTCCTGGTGGACATTAAAACAAAGCTTTCCCCTCTTCCAGATCAGGATTTGGGCCCGGAGAAAAGCCATAGAGGAGGGACAGGGGAACTATGCCCTGGAGAAAACCGGACCCATACTGGCATTTTTTGAGGACTACTACAACTCCTCGTACCCCCTGACCAAGTCAGGTGGGAGCCCAGACACACACAGAAAGACGGACGGAATTCTCTTATACATCTATTTCAACTGGGGTTTTTTTAAATGAGAAAATGCTGTACCAAAGAAATTGACATGGTTTAATTTCTATGATTATTCTAGACCAGATTGCTCTTCCTGACTTCAGCGCTGGGGCCATGGAGAACTGGGGCTTGATCACCTACAGAGAAACTGCGCTCTTATACAATCCTTTAGTGTCGTCTAATGGAGACAAAGAATGGGTGGCGACGGTCATCTCCCATGAGTTGGCTCACATGGTATGGCATCGCACCATTACTTACTTCCCTTTACTTGGAATCGCGCTGATCCTTCAGAAGTCCTTGAAAAGTCTGAGAATAACCGAAACTTTGTTCATTCAGTGGTTTGGGAATTTGGTGACCATGAGGTGGTGGAATGACTTGTGGCTTAATGAGGGGTTTGCCACCTACGTTTCCTACCTGGGGGCCAACTATGCCGAACCGACGTGGAATATGGTGAGGTTTGTTTCCTGTTGGGAGTAAAAAACAAATCACACATGCCTCAGCACTCGGCTGTTTATTTTCCAGAAAGATTTGATAGTTCTGAATGAGATCATCGGCGTGATGGATGTGGATGCTTCGGCCAGCTCCCACCCGCTCTCCTCCGAAGAGGAGAGCATCCTGATGCCAGAACACATCAGCGCACTCTTTGACTCCATCACATACAGCAAGGTGAATAGTAACACTGCAGCACTATTTCTTTACAGGAATGGTCAATTATTCAATGGTTGGATTAACCGTGGCAGTCTCCCACTAAAAATGCTAATACGCTCGTATTTTTCAGGGAGCTGCTGTCCTAAGGATGCTCTCAGAGTTCATCACTGAGTCTGTTTTTTCCCAAGGCCTCCACGTGAGTACATCTTATAAAAACAGTGAGCCTGATGTCTTGGTTGCTAAAGCTGTCTAACTGTAGGATTACGGAGGCCTGTTTTGATCCCCACACCAGTGCAACACATATTAACCATTGCTAATTTTCTGCTTGCAGACATATTTAGAAGAGTTCCAGTATAAAAACACAGTTTACAAAGACCTGTGGAAGCACCTGCAAATGGTAAGACAGTAACAGTAACATGTCAGTCCTTAAAAAAAAATGAAAATGCTGTTTAAGATTCTTTCAATGTGTTTTTCATATTTAAAGGAAAAGGCATATTTCCTTGATGATTTACAAAAAATGAGCACAGAGGAAAAACCATGCACACAATAAAGGCTTTGCTAATTGAATGCATTGTTAATACTGGTTCTCCCGAACTAGTCACATAAAATGTATCACTTTGATAGAGGTTATAGGGTCAGAATTTTGTTTTTGTTCCATCTTGTGAGCATGGCCAATTAGAATATGTTATTATACATACTTTATTCCAATTAGTGAAAATGTATGACTGAATCAGTAAATAACTCATGGCAGCTAATCATACATGCGATGCAGGTGACAATAGTACTTTTTTTTACTGCACTGCAGCCTCTGCCTTGCAAAGCTGTTACCACTATTTTGGCCAACACGTAAGGTTAATTTATGGGGGGTTTTTTCAAGGAACACTGGAAATGATATAGGTGTTATAGATAAAATCTGTTCATACAAATTAATCTCAGCCTCCTACATATTACTCACCAGTTCAAATGACTTTAAAGAAAATATAAACATCATTGGAATTTATGATAGAAAGATTAGACTGACTGAATCTCATTTGTCAAAATAACATAGTTTTTCAAAGTTATCTGTAGACTTCAAACTGTTGAACAATATTCAGAACAAAAAAAAAAAGAAAAGATAAGAACAGTCAGGCAGTAACTATTGGACTTTTCCTTAAAACAGGCAGTGGACAAGGCCGGCATATCACTTCCCCACCCTGTGGAAACCATAATGAACCGATGGATCCTGCAAATGGGCTTCCCAGTGGTTACTATAAACACGCAGACAGGACAAATCACCCAGCAACACTTCCTACTGGATTCCGACGCTGAGGTGGACAGGCCTTCAGAATTCAAGTAAGATTCTGTTTGCTGAATATTTGCGGCCCGTTGTGTGATATGAAAGTCAGCCTCTCTGACTCTGCTTACTGTCTTTCTTCACTTGTGTGTGTGTGGCTGGGTGAATGTCACTCAAGCTATGAGTGGTTTGTTCCTGTTACCTGGATTAAGAATGGTGGAGGTGAACAACAGTTCTGGCTTCTCAGCAAGGAAGGTAGTATATATCCCAAATCATGTGATTTTTAAAGGAGACGCACATGACATGAAAAGATAAACTGTTTTTTCCTCCCCGTCCAACCAGATACACAGACAGATTTTGTACTGGGTGGAACTGATTGGTTGGTGGCTAACATAGATATGAAAGGCTTCTATAGAGTCAACTATGATACTGGAAACTGGGAGCGTCTCCTTTCCAGGCTGAGCTCCAGACACCAGGTACAATACCAACGATACCTTTGTTAGATTTCTAAAACTGCTGACAAAGCCGTTAAACTCTGTTTTGTCACTGACTGTTTAGGATATTCCGGTAATCAACCGGGCTCAGGTTATTGATGATGCGTTTAATCTTGCAAGGTGAGACTTTTTTCTTCCACTTTAAAAAAACAACAACATATGGACATGACTGGCATATTTTGACAAACACACTGAAGCAAATGTGTGTGTAATTTTCAGAGCTAAGATGGTAGATACAGTTCTGGCTTTGAGAACCACCAAGTTCCTGAATAAAGAAGTGGAATACATGCCTTGGGAGACAGCCAGGCGCAATCTGAATTTCTTCTTCCTCATGTTTGACCGCAGCAAAGTGTACGGACCCATGCAGGTTAGTAAAGAGCCAACACTTGATCAGAAAACTCATTTCTTGAAGATGATCCTGCAAACGGATCCAGCAAACAAAGTAGTTCTGGAGAGTCAGTGATTTTAGAATATCTAACATGAATTAAATGGAGCCCACCTACCTTGTTACTGATTAGAAATGCAAATAAACTTTAGGTTTCACCTTCGTCCTACAGGCTTACATAAAAAAACAGGTCACCCCTCTTTTTCAACACTTCAAAGATCTGACTCTCAACTGGACAAAGATTCCTGAAAATCACACCGATCAGTAAGGACTGTCTGTTTCAAACCACTTCACATTTGAGCGCTTATATTTTGTTCTGACATTTGTGAGTCATCACCCACAGATCAACTGTTGACTTTGTGTTTGACTGGCAGATTTCATTACTCTAGTCATAGCAAACCATCTCCTCATAGATTAATACAGTGCAGAATAGATGAATTTCTAATTTTACTAATGGAAATGTAATGCTTGTTAAACAAAGTATTTTTTCTTCCCCTTCTTAATGTTATAAGATTCAATCATCCAGTTACGCTACCTCATATCACCTTTACCAGGAAATCTGTTTGACAAAATACATGACACACAGGAAAATTACAAAATTATTTTTAAAAATGGCAATGAAAATAAAATAGTATATTACAAAGTAGGGTTTAGCTTTACCAAGATCCTCCAGTGATAGTGGACCCCTTTTATTTAGGCTATGTCTGTTCAAACTGTGTGCTTACTGCTGTGTGCCTCCTCCTGATCCTTGTATCATCCCTGTCCAGGTACAATCAGGTGAACGCAATCTCCTTGGCCTGTAGTTCAGGAGTGGAGGGCTGCACGGAACTGACTACTGGCTGGTTTAAAGAGTGGATGAAAAATCCTGCTGCCAACAAGTAACACCTCATTTAATATATTAACTGTTCCAGTCATAATAGCTCTTCACTTTTTTCTCCAGACATTTGTTAGTCTCTTTTATTCTCACCTGTCTTTATTAAACCCATCAGCATTAGCGCCAACTTGAGGTCCACAGTGTACTGCAATGCAATCGCGGCCGGGGGAGTGGCCGAGTGGGACTTTGCCTGGGCCATGTATAAGAACGCCACCATTGCCTCAGAGGCTGAGAAACTCATGCACGCTCTGTCGTGCACAAAGGAGCCCTGGCTGCTCAACAGGTCAGTCCTGCAGACATCGTGCTCCATTTTCTGCTATCGCTCTGCTGAGAGCATTTCTTATTTTAATCTGATCCAACGTATGCATTCAGGTACCTGCAGTATTGTCTGGATCCAGAGAAGATCAGGAAGCAAGATGCAACTTTCACCATTGTTTACATAGCAAGGAACCCCATCGGACAATCTCTGGCTTGGGACTTTATCAGAGCCAATTGGGGCTACATATTCAATGAGTGAGTTTTTTCTTTTTGTATACACTATCCAAGCTGGTTGTGCAGTGTATCAAACAGAAAGATGTACAGTTTATGGTTAGATATTGATTTGGAGAAAAAAACAAATTACAAACCTGACATCCAGAGTTCCCCACATTCTGGGGTCTGGTTCATTTATTAAATTCTTACAGGACATACACATTAGTAGCCAATAACTAAATAGTAGAATTAGGAGGAAATGTTAAAAATACCAACTTTTTAAAAAGGAATTAGTTGCAAATATTTTGTTAAAATATTCTACATTTTTGCTTTTTCAAAAAAGTCTGCATTGTACAAGACATGTACAAAAGTTTCCTGCTACTAATCAACACCTCTCATTCTTTTTGTTTTTTATGATTATCTTTTAGATATGGTGGTGGATCATTTTCCTTCGGAGGAGTGATCGATGGGGTGACCAAACGGTTCTCCACTGAGTTTGATTATAAGCAGGTACAGATCTGAAGGAAAGTTAGCAGAAATCAAACTGATCAATAGAATGCAAGTACAAACATCCACTCTATTTCTCTCCAGCTTCTCCAGTTCAAAGAAGACAACGCAGAGCAGCTGGGCTCTGCTGCCTGGAGTCTCGATCAGGCTCTGGAGAGAACCAAGGCCAACATGAACTGGGTGGACATGAACATGCAGCAGGTGTTCGATTGGTTCGTCAGTGAAACCTCCTCTTAAGTGAAGTATTCCAGCCATTTTTTCATTTTCAGAGCTCAGGTTCCATGAAATAATGTACAGCCAAATGTCATTTTGAAACATTATGTATATTCTGACTCCAGTAGAGATATATTTAATGTGTTTTGATAAAAAAAACTTTTATGGTTGTGTTATATTGCCTCATAATGTCATTGCAATATAAACATTTGTTAATCTGGAATCTTTAGCCATATTTTTTTGTTTTTACATCCTCTGCATGTACAACTGTTAAAGTTTTCAAAAGACGCACACATGCATGTGATGACTTTGTAGGCCAAAATCATGACTAAAGTTACACAATGTTTAGGGTGAAACTTTGCAGCCATATCTTTGAAATATTTTATACTCACGAGTCACGGGTATTCAGAAGAGATCAAAGAGTGCCATACATTTTGGAAGTATAAGGTTTTTTAGAATATCAAAGTCACAAAACCATAATTTGTTCTCATGATGTCCTGATAAAAACCAAATTTACAATGCAAAAGTTTCAATACAGGTGTTTACTGCAATGTATATTTCAATTTAAAGAGAATCAACATGTGGTTAATCATGTTTCATTTGCTAATTTTAAAAAATCTAGGTTTGGGTTAGGGTTTGTAAATATATCTTGCATTCTGATTAATCATTTCCTTCAGTCTGGATAAATTCAACCAATATTCAATTATTCTATAGATTTTTTTTAAAGGCATCTAAACCGTCTGTCACTTTTCCACATGAAAGAAAAAGTTGACTGATCCTAGTTCAGCTGTCGCCATTCTCTGCGGGGGTCTTTCCTGAAAGACTTTAGAGGGGATGTGATCCCTGTTTAGCACCTCTCTGTCCTGCTGACAGCTGTTTGTGTAAGGAAGCAGAGGCCAAACATGCAGTGCACTTCTCATTCATTAGCAGTTTGGGATCACCAAAGTAAATGCACAGACAAGGGTTTTTTCATGATAAATATTTTTTTTATTTAGTTAACAACGTGAAAACTTAATAAATACACAGCTGTCTGTACAAAAATAAGCAAGGGACGGAATACATTTAGTCCAAAATATCAAAATATGGCAATGTTCGTCCATAGATTGGGTTAAAAGTCATTGTTGCAATGAAATCCGGGGTGTGGATGGGCCACTGCGTCATTCAGCACTGGCCAGGGAAGGCAAAGGTTTGGGGTTGTTGCTGAAGCATCCAGTCCTGCTCACTGGAGTGGCACACTTCCCTCAAAACCTGACAGAAAGAACAAAACAGATCTAGTCAACCAGAGCATTAAAACATATCAAATCATGTAAAGAAATAATATAGAATGAGAAACAGGCCTATGAAAAAGTGGAGTTAATTTTAGGGGTTTTATAGGTGAAAATGAACATACCTGACATGGGCTCTGCATAGAGGACAGCTGTTCCCCACTCACAGGGTTGCAGGTTGACTCCTGTGGACTGTAGCTAGCTGAGGGCTGACCCAGGAACTGACTGAGGGTTTGGATCTGCTCTTCCAAACCCGAGGTCCTTCTTTGTTCCAGCACCTCCTCGCTGAGGCCCAGCTGGGCTGAGAGGTGGGAGATGTAGCGGATGGTGAGGCGCAGCGTCTCGATTTTGGTCAGGGTCTGTCCGGCCGGCGCCACAGAGGGAGGCAGGTATGTCCTGAGCTCGTGCAGGGCTTTGGTCAGATCCCTCATCCTCAGCTTCTCCCTCTCGCTGGCCGTCTGGCGCTTCTTACCGGGATACCTCGACCTGGACTTTTTCGCACAGGAGGTGTTTACAGAGGAGGAACGGGAGCTAAGTGGGGCCTGCGCCTGGTTGGTGGGATAAGACTCCAGTGTGCTGAAGAGAAAACTGTCCAAAGCATCTTGCTCGCTTCCCACGGCCTGCATGGAGGCGGGGGAGAAGCAGAAAGAGTCCACGGTCGAGGTCGGAGACAGGCTGCTGCCTGCGCTGACATAACCGGGGTCTGAGGCCGGATCGTGATAGAGAGATTTGTCGAGAACAGGCTCGCAGTCGAACAGAAAAGCGTCTTCCTGGAGCTGGACGTGAGAACAGAGGGGCATCTCCATGGCGGGCTGAGCTGATTCTGTGGCCGATCCTGCGGTGGAAAGCTCTTCTGGGAGAGGTGGGCTTGTCAGTCTGTCGCTGGTGGAGCACGGATAAGGATAATGAGAGGGGACGGGGAGCCTGCTCCCTATATGTGGTGAGAGGTGTGAGGTTACACCTCTGACAGCCACCTCTGCTCCTGAGAGGCTCCCGAAATGAAGGCGACACCTAGGCCAGGGGGTCCCATGGGAAACTGGCATGCTCCCGGACAAGGTGTGACCCGGCCGCTCGCACGGGCTTTGTAAACTATACAGGTTCACACTATTTGCTCCTGCAGCCCGGGAACATGACCCCGCCATGACAGTACAGAGCCTGTACCTGGACCACAGGTCTGCCTCTGAAACCCGCGTTCTGATCACTAACCCAGTGAGTCACGGCTCGTGATTGAAAACAGTTAAAACGTCCACTCACAAACCCAATGCTCTCAATACGGCGCGAAAGGAAAGAAAGAAGCCCTGCGTCCCACCGTCATGTGTCTGTAAACTCTGCCTGACGGAGACAAAGAATGTAATTTAGCTGTAAATTTGATTAGCAGTTATGTTGTCATTATGCGAGCCGTCACAGGATCCCGCTCAAGGCCAAGCTGGCAGAAGTGTGCCAGAGAGGTGTGAAGGGTTAGCACCTCAGACTGTTTGGACAGGAGGACGCCTCACTTAGTGAAGAAACTATAAATTTCTTTAAATCGATTCCTCATGATAATACAGCCCTTGTGCGAATTTCGTATTAAATTAATTCAATGCTACCATCACAGGGTTCATGGTGATTAGTTGGTATGGAAATTCAATCTACAGTGGGGGAAATAAGTATTTGACCCCTTGCCGATCTTGCAGGTTTGCCCACTTACAAAGAATGCAACGATCTATAACTTTAATCATATGTACATTCTAACAGTGAAAGACAGAATCCCAAAGAAAATTCCAGAAAATCACATCGTATGAATTTATAAAAATTGATAACCATCTGATGAGGAAAAATAAGCATTCTTTGTAAGTGGAAAAACCTGCTAAATCAGCAAGCGGTCAAATACTTATTTCCCCCACTGTAAATCTTCGATACAAGAACCCTCACAATTTCTTGATCTCTCACTACCATCCCAGTTGTTGTATATTAATGATGAAAAATATACATGATCAGATCATTGCCTTGACACCCTTCACAGGGTGGGTATCACCGGCGCTGTGGAGCCGAGGTCCCAGGAACGTTCCCACAAACCACGGCGTCACATTTGTCCCCTGCTCCTCAGCAGATGTGAAACCTAAAAGCAGGAGGCGTGAAGTGCTGTTATGCAGCTTTCCAACACCAGAATGATGCAAGAAAAAACAGGTGCTTGAATCACGAAAAACATCCAAAACAACAACAGGGACTCCTGTGGGGTCATGAAAGTCAATAAGAAATACTTCAAATAACAGGACACACTAAAATAATAAGGGAGGAAATACAGGGAAAGGCCTATTCATCTGAGAGAGACCATTTTTCTAGTGTCAGAAAGAGAATTCTGAGGTGGAAAACGTTTAATATGGCTGTCATGGAATAGACATTCCAATAAGTTCACTCCAAGGCCAATTTATGCCAAGATCGAAGGTGCTGCAAGACCTATTAATTTCCACACCTCACCTCTACAGATATGAGTTAAATGCTCGAGTCCATGATGGAAAATAAGAAATAAAATATCTATAGTCTTTGTATGTAAGAGTTGCACAGTTCAGGTTAGCAAACATTACCGGTTTCCAGGGTGTGATAAATATCTGATTGCTGGGGCCCAAGGAGGGAAACACAGGGATTAAAGAATTCAAGAAACACTCATTTATTTACCAACAAAAAGTGCAGCAGAGGCTTGAAACAGAATTAACAAGAATGGAAGCAAACCTAAAAAAAACCCAGAACTAACAAAACCAATAGGATGACGACAGGGAAACGGGACCAGGGACGGAAACATGGAAATCATATGACTTTAAGGATCTGGCACAGTGTGAAATGATGGGGAAGCTTTAATAAAAGGGCGCGTGTGATTAGTGGAATGGAAGCCAGGTGACTGAAAGACACAGGTGCAGGCACTTGAATGATGACCATAAACGGAGGGAAGTGAGGGAGGTAAAGTAAACTGAGACACAAGTGGAAAACACAGGAAATGAAGGGACGAAGAAAAACATTAGAGTAAAGGAACTCTAGAGAAGGGAAGTGGCAGTGACAGAAACAGAACTTTAACATCTCATTCATCTGTTTCATATCTTAAAAAATAACAAGTGATTATTTCGTGAGAACGCGCTCATGTGGAATTGGGAAACTAAAAACCAACTGAAGATCATGACTCGTGAGATGTCTTTTTTCAGAAAAGACGGGCAGCTTTAGTTTCTTTAAAGTGTATTCGTTTAGTGTATTTTTCCAAAGTATGCTGATTTTCCTTTTACTCATATAGTAGTATGAGGTGTGTACCTCTGCACTGACGTTTTCCTAAACTGGTCCGGGTTATGGAAGATTCCTGAAAGAACCAAATATAAATGACCACACGGGCAGTGAAGCAACAGGAAAGAAAAGTGGTTCTTTTTCATTGGCGATCCTTTGATTCGTTCAAAAAAATTGACTTTTTTTTCTCTTTTGTTCAAGACAGCATTCTCAATTGTGTAGTTTATTTGAGTTTTTTCACCAATAAAAGTGAAGAATCCTTTACAGGGAGAATTTTAGCTCTTCCTCTGAACCTAATTAAACTGCAGCTGTCAACTTCCTTCCCTCCCAGGTGAAGGATGTTCCCTCTTCATTCACATCGGCTCTTGCGGTGTTTGCTCACATGTAATGAGTGAATAATCAGCACTGCAGCACCAAGCCTTTCATCCCATCCCCTTTTAGCCCAGAAAGTTTATTAGCTTAGCTGTGATGAGAGACTTTAGTGAGTATATTAGGCTTTGCGTCAGCTGGCTCCCTGCATATCAAATGACTGGCATGTATGTGGCAAACCAAACACTCGGCCCTAATTCTCCAACCTGATATGCAGATCCACGCTCCTTGATGAATATTAAAGTCCTCTCGGTTGGATTTGGCAAGCAATCATGGCAGGAGGTGAAAGGAAGGGGGGAAAGATCAGGGGGGATTGCAGTCTAGACCTAGCGGTGCCAAAGGCCCCTCTGTGTTTGCAGTAGCTCAGTAACAAAGAAACACTAAATAAACTAGATAAACCGTGCTAAAAGATTAAATCTGGTTTACTTCACACTTTAGAGACTTTACATGCGTTTTAGACACCTAGAGCAAAATTGCAACTCATTGCAGACATGCAGAAAAAGCTCAAAATGAGGCGTCACACACTGGCGCTGTGTAGATGGCTGCCTCTCCAGTATCTTCTGGTAACCTTAATTTCCTGAGGGAGTCTTCCCAAGGGATCAATAAAGTTCAGTCTAAGTCTAAGTCTAAGTCTTACAGTACAAGGTTTTATCTGGACAAAGAAAGTTCTCTTTTTCCTTTGCAATTTCCCCAAGGTCTGGCTGAAGGTAAGCAAGTGCTCTTCTTTGTCTGGGTTTGAAAACTCTACTCATGTCACCAGAAGCAGTAATGGACTATGATCTGAATTGCCCGCACTTCCCAGGTAGGAGCACACTGCTCAATGTATGCTGTCCCCATCCAGATCGTGGCTCATTTTTGGACAAAGAAATATGGGATATCCAGGTCTTTAGTGTATAGAAATATTTTTTTTGTCTGATGGATTACTTCACTGTTTAAGGGCTCCATGTTAGCAATTTATAGATATGTATATGTGCTAAATCTATCTATCTATCTATCTATCTATCTATCTATCTATCTATCTATCTATCTATCTATCTATCTATCTATCTATCTAATGACATAAACACACATCTTTATTTATATATATATATATATATATATATATATGTGTGTACATAAGATAAAAACTTTCTTATATGTGGAATTTTTGCCAATTATCCCAGCTCTAAATATAGTTGGTCCTTCTAATTCTACAGTAATTATGACCTTGTATTGGATTTTATTCATGAGTCACAATATGTGAACCAACTACTTGGATATTGGATCCCCTGACCCTGTGTGACCACACAGTGTGTACTGTACAGGCTTGGGCATTTGAGTCTTTTGAACAGCATATGTCATTTTAACAAGGCCAAGTGCACACTTAACGACACCCTGTGTGACAGAAACTGAGAGGCTTTGACAGGGGACGTTTGACAGGTTTATTATAAATAGAGGGACAAGGAAAAATTATAAAAATAGCTGTTAAACATATCAACATTTACAAGAAACGCATTTTTGATGCAAAATAAATAAAAGGTAGAATAGCATATAATTCAAATAAATTACTCGATCCACAGTGAGGCGGCAAAATCACTGAAGTAGCTTGTGTCTGTTGTTGGATGGCCGGAGTCTAACCCCAGTACTCTCTTGGAACCAGTGGAACGCAGAAGTTTTTGCCACACATCTGTATGGAGAGAGAGAAGACAGGAAGACACATTAATATGATGCACAAAGCCGATATGAAGGATTACTTGCATTTGATAACTGAAACGAGTTCGTGCTTACCGACCTGGCAGGACGGCTGCGATGTCGGAGGCAACAGCAGATTTGAGTCCGCGCTCACGTCTCCCTGAAGAACCTCGCTTTCCTGCCTGCTCAAGCGAGCCAGTCCAAAACTACAATCCCCAGAATGCAGCAGGGGGTTCTGGCTGTAACACTGGGCCGGGTAGAGGCTTTGGTTGGGGTTGGGGCTCTCAATCTGTCCTCCCGTGGACGCGTTCTGAAAGTAGCTCATGATGTCGGGAGAGGAGGGGTCACTGGCCGAGGTGTCTCCCTGCTCCCTCCTCTGGAACAGAGCCTCCTCACTGAGGCCCAGCTGGGCGGACAGGTAGGAAATGTAACGGATGGTGAGGCGGAGGGTCTCTATCTTCGTCAGAGTCTGTCCGGCAGGGGCCACCGAGGGCGGAAGGTAGGACCTCAGGTGATGTAGCGCTTTGGTCAGGTCCCTCATCCTCAGCTTCTCCTTCTCACTGGCGCTCTCCCTCTGCTTGCTGCGGATCCGGGCCGCTCGGCCCGACTTTCGGCCCCGGCCGGACAGGGAGCACGGCGAGGACCTGAGATCCTGGGAATATCCCCTTTTGTCTGCCTTGGGAGTGGACTGCGGAGGCTGCTGGTAAGAAGGGGAGAGGCTGGAGTCCATGGAGTGGACGGGAGAGAGGGTTTCCGCAGAGGAGAGGCTGGACAGGTCTGAGTCGGAGCACCACTGGAACTGCAGGCTGTAGTCTAGAAGAGGGACAGCAGAGGTATCCATGTTGTGTGCAGGAGCCCTACGCCCTGACTGGAAAGACTGGGAAGTTGTGAGTGCTGCTCAGCTCTCCTCCACTGGTTTATAAGTCTGGGCCAGGCCACAGAGGTGTGAAGTGACACCTCCGCAGATTCTGGCTGCCCCTGAGCATACACACACGCGCACACACACACACACACACCATCAATGGGACCCTCAGTACATCTCCCTGCCTCTCCCTCTGCTCTCAGTCTGGGAAAGTGGAGCTACAAGAGTTGAAGTGTGAATTTTGACTCCTGCTGAAAACAATAAACATTTTTGCTTCTTCCCTGCAGGAGCCCAGATGCATTCTGCACATGTTTTCGGTGGGTTTTTTTTTTTTTAATGGACGATCTGATTTCTTCTCCAGTAGTTTCATCAATTTCAGCCTGACCAAAAAATGCTGTGCAGAAGTCATCTTGCATACTTCAAAAATGGAACAAGGATCTCAGGGAATGTGCGTACTGTACGCCCTGAGTTCAAATAAACCATAATATAGAGCAAAACGAGCGTTTAATCAATTTTTGCCAAGCAAATAACTTGTTTTAAAACATCAGGAGCTGTCTGATTCTGTTAGGACTGGCAACATGACCAAACTGACTGTCCGTCGCAGCTACAGAATACTGAACATGCAGTTTTAATGGGCAGCAAACAAAAACACACTGTCCACCAGAAACATAAGACACGTAATATGAGGTTTGATTAATTAATACTTTATTTTAGTTTCAAACTACCTTTTCATGCCCTTCCTTTTATGTCTACATTTAAAACCTGAACTTTAAAGTGCATCTGGATCTTGCCTTGATCTCCAGCGCATCTCCCCCTCTACAAGTTTCCCGTCAGCATTTAATAGTCAGGCATGAGCTGCACTCCTTAATCTCCATCATGGACTGGAGGCGGCATCCCTCCGCTGCTCCCACCCAACGTGCTGGTGGGACGAAAAACGGTCTCGAATGGCTAAAAATGCAAATGCACATATAATGAGGTTAAATGAGGCTTAATGAAGCTTAATGTTATCTAGTTAGAGCGGAGGCGTGATGGTTTCACACTGATGAGAACTGATGAGTCTGAAGGCGTCACTTCACACCTCGCTGGTGAGAACCAGGACCTCTGGACTGGTATTCTCTTCTCTGTCCCCACCTCTTACCTTCATTTTCGTTGGCTAGAGCTGTAGCGAGAGCAAACTTACTGATGCAGGCATAGTGATTCAATATGTTTTCCGGCACAGTTTAAAAGCATTTAAGAAAGTGAACGGTTCTACAGAGGCTTGTCTACTCCAACAAATGACTTTTTATTCTTCACCGCAAGAAGGATTTGCTGAGGCGTACTAATTCCAAAGAAATTTAGAGTGTTTTTTCGCTGCCCAAGGGCCAAGTCAGTGTGTTTGCGGTTTGATGTTTTCCCCATCCAGTCTGATTTCCTTCAGCCATCTGTTTTTGTATAATTCTTCTGATCATATTTTGATTGCTTTGGTGGAATGTAATACTTAATAAATCATGTTTTAGTCAACAGGAAAACGCAGATACCTGAGGCAACGCTGAAATCTTTGTCTTAGAACAGATAAGAATTTACTGCTCGGAAAATAAAAGCTCTGCCTGCTCCTTCTCATTTACACGACAAAGAAGAATGGGGGTGAGGTGCTATAATCATTCATACGTGGGTAATGATTTAGATTGAATCCATAGAATAACGCTGAGTGATGTAAACACTGCATGCTGTGTCAGGCTGTGGGTAGAGTGAACCAGGAGTGAACCCTCAGTTAGACCCTGCCAGTCACCCTGACCAAGGTGAGGCTGTGGGAGCCAGGCTGGGAGTTTGGCACCTCTGGGTGGACGCCCACCCACAGCAGGCTCAGCCACTGGGCTACTTGCCACCTGTCTGGGTCTCCTCTGACTGTCAACCCTGCCACGGCCTCATGTGTGCTCTCTCTGCTTGAGATAAATGCATTTATGAGAGAAAAAATGCACATACGCGATCCATTGTGGTAAGAGTAGTCAGTAGTCATAAGTTGGACTGGTGCTCAAACTCCTGGATTGATCTGAACATACTATAAATTACTCATTTTCACCAAAAGCTGATTGATGTATCAGTAATAGAGGACAATGTGTTAGTGGATTTGTGCTATTTCTGCACAGGCAAAGTTTTCTATATGAGTGTTAACAAAAACGAAGCTTAGTTTATTGAACAATTATTTTTTAATTTGATTAATGTAGTCACAGAAGCTAGATTAACTTATACAACAAATAATAGACAATTTCATCAGCCAACACATTTTATTTAGCTTTGTTTTCATTTTAAATATTCTATGTAAAAGATAGAATTCTGTATATTGTGTTCAGAAAATCGACAGATGGATGGTGTCATGATTCTTGAAGACATTACAGGTATTACAGGCATGACAACCCAGACTGACATGACGGACTTTTGTATTGAATTTTTCTCATTTTTATATGAGTTTTTTTAACAGTCTAAACATATTCAGTTTTTATTTGAACTCTTCAACATCTGCCCTTCTAGGACGGGAAAATATTTCATTGCATTTTTAAAAATTTCTCAGTAATGGCAACCAGAATTTTCCACAGATAATTGGAGTAACACTTAATTTAGGGATCACATACTGTACCTAAACTTAATTTTAGACCCAGTTGAGGTTAGCCTCTAAAATATCCTATGACCAAGTACGTGATCATTAATCAGTGAAAAATGTTTTCTACCAAATGCTTGAGCTGGTTTATGTTTATACATTTAGCAGACGCTAAAGCGACTTTAAGGGGTTAAAGTTACATAACTGCCCAATGGATCTTCATCCACCAGCAAATTAGAACGATGCAGACTGCCATGAACGGTTTGATCATAAAATCACCTAATTTCAAAGACCTGACTGGCCTTTATGATAACTTTAAACTGTCCAAAAACCAGCGTTTTCAATCTTTAATCAAAAGTCTTTGAGAACTGGGGAATTTCTGAAGACTGGAGCCGGCTGGAAACTCTTTATCTGTCTGTTCTTCCATGCCCTGGATTCCATTAAGTTGCATTTCAGTCAGAGAAAGCTAATCCTGATTCTTCTTGAAGAAATTAAGCTTTTTGGTAGACTAGGTTGAAGATAATAAGGTATATATAATTCTTAATTACATTAGAAATTTTAATTATATCAGACTCCACTGAGACCCCATTTAAAAGCTCAGTGGGGTCACCGGTCGATAAGCTTTGATTGACATTAAATTAAGACACAACAGTATTGAGCACCACTCTTTATGTTTGATTTGTCATAATTATTTATAATCTAAGTTTTATTTTAGAAAACACAGCCCCCAACATACAGTGCTTGCATTTCTATTAATTACAAACTCAGATGTAATGGGGAAAAAAACTGTTTTGTTTAGATATGATTTAATGAAATCACTGACTTTCTCGACACAGTTTGTGCGTCCCATAATTAATCACCTCCCAAACCTTGTCTAGCTTTTTATTCCAAACAGCCGGGGTCCTGTGACCTTTAAAAATATATATATATATATGTGGAAAACAATGCCAAAATAATCACAGCACCTATTCTGTTTTATGTTTAATTCTGAACTTCAGCAAAGCTAAAAATTATTAATCTGTAAACTGGATGGTTGCGGGGGTATTTATTTATTTTTAGTTCTGCCATTCATTCAGGGACTAAGAGTCATTAAAGAATTTAAAAAAATTAAGTAAAATAACTTTAACTTTAATTAAGATAACTGTGCTCTTCATCTCAAACGTGCCTGGTTATGTCAGGCCTGTTGTTAGCTTTAGTGTGTACTGTTTTCTGAGTGTGTGTGTGTGTGTGTGTGTGTGCGTGTGTGTATACATGTCAGTGGGTGAGGAGCCAGGCAAGGAGGGCCCATTTTGCACCCTAGGTGTGAAACATTGCTGGAACTGTAAGGGGTCAGCCAGAGGTGGACAAGCGAATTTCATCGGGCTGTAAAAGTCTTACTTTCTAAAAAAACCCAGACGAATGACTCCATTCAACTTTAACTCCCTTCCCCAAACAGAAAACCAAATTTCTTTTTTTTGTTTTTTGTTGCTTTGGCAGGATCTTGAAAAATATTCCATCGCTTCTCCTCTGACTTGATATAAAACAAAGATGGGAGCAGCACTTGTCATCCAAATCTCACTACAAGCAAATTAAAACAAGATCAAATTGGAAATGTCCAGAAAAAAAAAGTTTCACTGCCCTCTGCAGTCCTCTGACGTCCCCGTACGTCTGCTGGACAGATCAGCAGATAGCCTTTCACACCTCAGCCAGAGTAAACACGTTCTCCTACTACCGGCACTTGCTCACACTTGTGTTCTGCCATGTTTTTACAAGTCCTCCCATCACACAGCTGCCCATGACATCTCAGCAGTTATTTCACATGCCTGAAGAAGAATGCGCATGTAGGAAACAAATTGTGTTCCAGTTTACAGTTACATTGAAGATATGATATTTTGTCTCATCTCAACTGGTCACAAAAAAACCTCCCCTATAAATGTCTTTCCAGTATATTCAGCTTTGTGATATTGTCTCTTTGTGCTTTTAAATATTAGCCCTGAGAGGGGCTGTGCAAAATGTTTTCCTTTTAAGAGTGGATGTGAGGCCATTTGTAAAATAATTTTCGTATTTTGGAAAATATGCTGTATTACTTTCTTTCTTGTAACAAGATGAGACTGCGGCTCCTGAAGCCAAGACATTGTCCTGAACACAACTCTCCTGTTACAACACAAAATACAGTATTATGAAAAAAACCTGAGGCAGCCATCTTTTCTTCATATTTTGCCTCAAAACAGACAGAAAGTCTTGTGATCTTTTAAACAGTTCTCTAGGCTTTCTGAAGGTCTTTCAAAGTTTCTTTCTTTTTCCTTTTTGTACATTGACTGCTTTACCACCCCTTTTCGCTTTCCGAGGGAGGTTTTGTCAGGCCACTTAACACCTATGAAATGACCAAACAGAAAGTAAACACTCTGAGACAACTGAAGAGTGGCATATTTGGGCAATTTTTCAATATCAGGCGGTCAAAACCATCCGTTTTTTGACAATACCAAATGCGAGGACAATAAGAGAGACATTCAATGGCATATTTGCAGCATAAAAGTTATTTGTAAAGAACTATTTGCTGAAAAATTGCAATAGGTTGCTGTGTGTTCTTAAGAAAATTGAGAAAAATGGCCAAGTAAGAAAAAAAAAAGAAAAAAGAAAAACGATCTGCAGCATGAAAAAGTGATGTACGTGAAAAAAGACCTGGGAGACGCTTCATTTGTCGCACATACTGGATTTCTATTTAACTTTACATCTCCCAAATAAATCACTGCTCTTATTTCTCATTTGCACACTAATACACAGACAGGGGTGGTAGCTCTAAATCTGGGCGGCTGTGCTGTATCTCGCAATACTGATTACTGTTTTTGACCATGTTGGGTTCCATGATGAAAAGCTTGTATCGAGAAAATGTTTAAAGGCAACTACATCTCCCAGAGTGCATGTACCCCTGAAAAGAAAACAGTCTCTCAGCAGAATCAAGAGGGATCTTTAGATGCAGACACATGTCTGCAAACATATCTGTTGGCATGGGATTAGAAACTGTTACGGCTGGGAGGTTTCTGCTTCTTGTTTGTTTTTCCTCGTGTCTTGTTGATTTATCACGTTTGAACGGTTTGCCTGTGTGCATGCAGACACGGTTAGGAGAGAAAACCTGTCAAAACCATCCTCCATCATCTGGAAATGACTTAGCTCCTTAGTAACTCTTTGAAAGAGGAGCCCAGAAACGCTGGCTGCTATCGACAGATTACAACATTTCAAGGTGTTAGCTGAAGATTTCCTCGCTTAGAGCTCTGAAAATCAATTCAGCGGGCTAAACCAACACTTGGGAAATAAAGAAAGGAGAGTGTCATCTCAACTAAGATGTCACATTCTCATGAGATAAAGTGGCCTAATATTCCTCTTCCACTCCCTGAATGCAATCCTCTCAATGGTGGATTTAAAGTCTACCTCTGTATTTAGAGTTCATATCAATTTAAAGAAATATTCAGCAAATCTGGCCAAATACCCAAGGTTTTCAACTTTTTCCCTTCTCAGTTGTTTCCTCATATTAAGCAGGAGACCAGACCACAAGCCCTCAGCTTTATTCAAGTCATGATGCAGCTATTATGGTACAACTAATATACACAGGTCTATATGTACAACAACAATTACAGTATTGGTAGTCAGACTCAGTAAGTTGTCTCTCAGTAAATTCACAGACGTGTGGAGAACAGCCATACACACACATACGCACATGCACACATACACTGCTCATTCCATGTCAACCAAAAAAAAAAAGGTAACATGCTCTTTAGAAATCTTGACACGTGTTGTCAGAAATGCAGCGAGGTCTGCGAATCCGTTCTCCATCGGAACGTTAGAATGAGAGCATCATATCAAAACAGCTAACCTTTCAGTTTTGTATCATTCTCTTCTTCCTCTTTTTTTCTTTTTTTTTTAGAAAAAGACAAAAAATAAAACAGATTGAAACAACAGTTCCTTACTCTTCGTAATGGCAAGATGTGACAGACAAGACTCAGATTCTACATTAGTAACAGCTACCAAAACACAGCTCTACAGATGAGGACACCACCTCTCAAGTTTGAGGACAAGAAGACATATCGGGTGGAGAGTCCGGTCAGCTTGGATTAGGATCGGGGGGGAAAAATTTAACGGGACTGAATATATCTTCTATGTTTGATAAATAAGTTTGGTCCAATTTTATACCTGGAGAGAGACAACAACTACAGAAGACTACAGACACAACAGAACTGTGCAGAGTAAATAAAGACTGGGTGAATTTGATTTCTTTTTTATCTGTATGTCATAACCAGTGGCAATTCTGCTGCCGAGCCTCCACAGTGTGTATGACAGTCCTCTCCCAATTCAAGGTATCACTAAACGTCCTCTCTCTTTCTTCAAGAGGAAATGAAATCAAAGCACAACATGGTAACATGAACTACATCACCATTCAAGAACAGACACAGTTTCATCTCATATTAATCTTTTACACGAACCTCAAACAAAACAGACGTCGCTACGCCATGTGTGAACAAAGGATGGGATGACAAAGAATAGACTCAGATGATGTTACGGAAACACTGGGCAGCCTGAGGAGCTTACTGGAAACAGAGAGCAACCACAGGTTTGTGTAGGCAACCAGACGGGTTTCAACACTTTTTTTATTTTTTATTATTTTTATTATATCGTCATAGACTCACAAACACAACTCACACAACATAGCCTCCTCTTCCCATCTTTCTGTTGTCAGTTTAAGATGATCCTGTCCCCTAAAAACGTGCTCCCCCTCCCCCCCGAATATACCGTGGCTGTATTGTGTCTGGGGCACAGAAGCAGCAGGGAGTTTGGCTTTTTCAAGAGAGGATCTTCTCTCGGGTTTCAGGCAGCTTGAGGGCCACCAGACCTCCACAGACCAGGGCAGCGAAGGCCAGGAAGATGGGGATGATCTTGGTGATACCGATGAAGGCTGCAAAGATGAAGCTAGCGACGATGGCTGCGAACTTGCAGATCCCGTTCAAGATGCCGAACGCCGTCCCTCTGCAGAGTGAGTAAAAAACACACAAATACCGAGCAGAAAAGGATTAGGGGCAGGACTTTACCCATTGAAGTGAAGAGTAGGTTGATAACTCTCCCATATATTTGGATCAAAAGATAAAGGGAAGTGTTTCCACAGGTATGATGTTGGATTAAAAAAATCCAAATCATAGGAGAATTGATCCTATAAGACTGAAAGTATGAGTATGTAACCAAAACACGAAAGGCATCCTGAACACTGTCTTAAGCTGGTAGATTTGGGCCGGTGTTCTGCAGGTTTTACCAACCCGAGCTGATTCTAATCAATTTCTTTGCTTGAGTAAAGTTTGGACTGAAAGGTGCCAGCAAATGACAATCAAAGAAGATAAATTAGAAGTGCCAGCCCGATGAGTTGGCTGGAAATTCCAGCTGACTCATGCCGTTTCCAGCAGATGAATTTCAATCAAACAAAGGACACTGACAATGTTAATAGTATTTCCCCTGCAGTGCAGTCGTGGGGCCCGCTAAATCAGATGGAATGGATGCCAACAGAAAATCAAAACAAAATCAAACAAAAAAGACACATGCATTTCAATTGTTCAGTGAGAAGCAAAACAGGCCTAAAGTGATCTCTGAAAAGCTGCAAATGAAAGCGATATAAACACTGTGGAATCAAACACATTTCTGATGGGTTTTGAAGCAAATTAATTGATCAACTCATCAGTGAAACAAAAAAATGCTGCACAAAAGATCTTCTTCTATGAATTGTTTGCTTCATTTGTAGGATGGAAAACAAAATTCAGCCCCCACGTAGATGAATTTGGAGTTCGACAAAAAAAAGCCTTTTGAGACCAGACTAACCATGTAACAATCGTGAGCGATGACCTATGTCGCGGCTATCTGAGTGTATTAATGAACTGGTTTTCAAGAATATAATACATATTGACTTCTACCTTTTAGAGGAGGGGTAAAGCTCCACAGAAATGACCTCCAATCCATTCCAGGCTGCCACACTGACGGCATAGAAGAGACACTGCCAACAAATCACAGCTCCTTGACTGAAACTTAACAGCAGCAGGAACGTGCAGGCCGACGACCCCAGCATGGAGCCACCTGGAAGGAAAGGCAAAACGGAATCACTGAACGCAGTCCCACCATTTCTTCCGCTCATGAAACGCAGCCTAATTTATTCTGGGTTCTTTGTCTTGCATTTCACATCCTGCTTGGCTTCGTTCAGCCAGCAAACCCCCGTTTCAGCACATCTGGCATTTCAAAAAGTAAAACAAAAACAGCAGTCCATGCTAAAACACACATTTCTGAGTCTTTTCCCAGGTTGAAATGAGCCGTTGCTGCACAAAATGGACTGACCTATTATCCGGATCCTTCCTATCTTGTCCATGAACAGCGCTGAGATGATGTTGCCAGGCAACACGGCCAAACTCCCCAGGAAGCTGACCATGTAGATGACTATGTCGTTCTCCTCCTGGAAGTTCAAGTGGCAGCCTTTTTTCGGGTGGAGGAAGGTGGTGTTCTCCATTCGACACTCTTTGAACTTCTCCTGCCACAGGTCTGCGAAGATAAGCGAGAACTTAATTGGGGGGGGGGGGGCACTTTGGGTTTGTGATCACGTGCTCTGGCTGCTTCACCGGAGGCTCGTTTTGTTGGCGAACAAACATCGGCTTGCATCATCCCAGTGTGTGCTACCTGTGTTGTAGAAGACGGTGTTTTTGATGGTGCAATTCTCAAAGAAGGTGTTGGTTGATTTAATATCCTCAAAGTAGCAGTTCTCAAACAGAGAATCCTCAAACTTGACAGACTTGATCTCGATGTTTGCAAACCTAAAAGAGGGTGAAGAAAAGACATCAGGCCGCATGTAAAAAGGACACAGCAGTGACCAGTGGGTTAAGGAGACATACTTGTCATGGATGTACTCTCCCTCGCGGTGGATTTGATTGACCAGGGAAAAATTGAAGTGGAAACGCTCCACGCGCTCTCTGTGGAACACTCGTACTTTGGACTCGTACTCCTCAAACTGCATGTACTTGATCATGTCAGGGAACCAAACTCCCAGCCCGTGGTAGCTGAAACACAGAAAACCATTAAATAAACAACAACTGCCTTGAGCAAAAAGAACAGGTGGAAGTTAGAGAGAGGGGAAGGTTAGGAAAAAAAGCAATTCCATTTGTATACTTTTGCCCACCAAAAACAACAACCTCAGCATGCTGCCGTACCTGAAGGCCATGCAGAACCACACGATGAGCAGAAAGAGGCCTTGAAGTCTGAGCTCTGGAGCCGATAAAGACATCACGTTGGCCATCACCTTTGGGAAGGAGAGACAGGCAATCAAAGCTTGGCAGGTTTGGATGAAACTCACTGTTGTACCCAATAATTAACACAATCTATCTCTTAAGACAGCGCAATCGAGTTGGTCTTTCACATTCGATTGAATTAGAAAAAGATAGGCGCTCTATTTGAAGTGTTTTCAGGCCAAACTCCACTGAAGGGCCAGCTGGGCTCGTGCAATCGGTCAATGAAAGCAGACGTTGGTCACCTGGACCAGCCCCACAACACCGAGGAAGCCGAACTAACAGATAAAAAATGTCTGCTGTATCAGTTATACATATATGAGTGACATGGTGGAGGTAGTCGACAGGATAAAGCAGCTTTGAGGGCTCCGCTCTTGTCTATTTTCATTCATCATACGGTCAGTTTCCAGACCTGCTGCAGCATGGTCATTTTGCGCACAGTCCAGCGCTGGAAGGCCGTTCCAGTGTCACTCTGGATCTCTATGAACTCATCCTCCTGAGTTTGCGGAGTCTTGATATTGGTCACCTGCACATAGCAAAAGGGTTTAGTCAGTGTCTGCGTATTCACAATGATGATTTCAGTTTGGCAGCAGGAGCCCTTTCTGTATTTTTCTCTCTGTCTCCAAATTGAGAGGTAGAAGAATGATACATGTATGCTTTTTACTAAATTGCAGCCTGCTGTAGAAGGCTTTTAAATGCTACTTGAATTGAGTTATTGAGGTTTGTTCTCCTTTATTTCAAGATTTTTTGTGATAGATTTAGAGATGATATAAATCAGGGTGGAAATAATTATACTAATATACTATACTAATCCGCAGCTTGAGAGAACTCTAATGTCCTGGTGATTTGTCCCTTTCCCTTCTGTTGGTCATTTTATTGAAAGAATGGCCATCATCGTTATCACTTAATTTTTTCAATTGGTGCTTTACAGCAGTTTTGGGAATGTACATAAATAGCTGGAAAAAAGTGCCATTTGTAAATTCATGGATGTTTTTTTAAATAGCTGTTTTAAATGCAAAGATTTAACTGAAGAGAAGCAGACTCAGACAGGAGAAAATTCACATGGACTCCTGCAGAGCTTTGCAGCAGGCAGAATATGGAAACTCCATGCTATCCATTTGTGCTCTGGCTAACCTAATCTGTTCCAAAAATATATGTGAGATACTTTCTAAGGAGGGCAAGTGCATGTCTCTTTGCAGATGTACGCTCCAGTTCGATGTGAAGCTCATTTAGATGTTTTTATGTCACCGTGGTGGAGTGGCTACTAAAGGAATAAAAAGAAAAAAAAAAGAGTAGTACACTCAAACCCATAAAAACCTAAATAGATGCAGGGCACATACTCTGTTGAGGTCTATTTGCTGTTCATTTACTGTTCATTTATTGAGCACATCCTTCCTCTCCAAGTGGACTACAAAACATAATTTTAGATGTAATCATGCATCTCTGGTTTCCAGAGCAGTACTGTGCAGTTGTCTTTGTGCGCACCTGCAAAAAAGTGAAGTTCTAGTTTTCATAGCTCTGTCAGGGTTTGTGAAGCTGGCTCCTCATTGAGCGATTTGAGCGATTAAAGCCTATTAAATTCCTCCCGAAAGATTGTGAAATCATGGCCTTCAAAAAATGTTCATATAATTTGAAGAAGCATATCAAGGTAAGTTAAAAAAATACAATGACATATAAGCTAGTAAATAAGCGCTAGTTCAGTTCTCCCTGTTCACTCAGGACGTAGCAGCTAACATTAGCTAAAGCTAAGCTAGCTGGCTAGCTGTATGATAGCCTCTTAATGGAAGCAGCAAGATTCATGATTCTGACACTGGAATGATAAAGTATAGTAGATGAAGTGCTGTTGATTGCTAATGCAGATGTAGTTTTCTGTTTTTGCAAACACCTGTATGGCCTTTTACATGTTTGAAATAATATAAACAATATCTATCACACTTTTGACTGCCTTTTTTAATATACACAGTACTTGTACTTTTACTTATACTTGTTCTTTTGATACTTCAGTAGCAATTTTTTAAAATACTTTTACTTGCAATACTTAAGTACAAAAAAAATTGAGTACCTCCGTATTTCCACTTAAGTATGGTGTTGAAAGAATACTTCTACTTTTACTCAAGTCAGTTTTTTTATATAGTACTTGTACTTCTACTCCACTCCCCTACTCCGGTACTTTATACATCTCTGTATACATGTGACTTCCTGTTTACACTGTATTTTAGTATCTGTTTTGTATTCGATCTAAATCCTTTTAAATTAGTTGCCAGGGGATTTGGCTAAACATCAGCTTGTTGGTGTGAGTGCAGGCTTACAGTGAAGACTCTCTCTGGCTCCCCCTTAGCCTTCCAATTGGTGTCGTGAACTTGTCGCAGGATCATCCACGCCTCGTCGTGCCGGGCGTTCTGCAGACCACACACGCACATGCATCAGTGAACGTCTCGCGAAAGACTCAAGAGCGTCCTCGTGGAACCTGGGACGGGCTTTGGTATGTGCAGATGAAATTATACATTGTGGTCTGCTATATTTTAAGAACCGCTCTTTTAATTACGGCTCACAGTTCGACCACTGAAACGTTTCCCACAAACTGTTCCGCCACTGCCAGACACACCAGCTGAGTAACAGCGTTCCCATTGGGTCTGCCTCTTATCTTGAGGGGTCAGTGTGTGATAAATTGGGGGGAGTGTTGCAGCAGTAACACACAAATACAATACCACATGTGGTTGGAGGGCTGACATTGTCCTGGATGGGAAACAGGGGTGGGTGGTGTTCTTAGCAGCTCTTTGCTACCTTTGCACAGCAGTGGGATGTTGTGGTTGATGACTCATCTTTTTATTTTTTATTTTGACCCTATCTCAACCTGATATAGTTCTATATATAAACTCGGATTCAACGCTGATTATTGCCATGGTTTAAATCTACAACGGGGTTCTTATCACACTGGCCCTCTGACCTCCAGCAGGAAACGTGGACTCTCCGGCATGAAGATGATTCCGATGAGCGCAGCCAGCGCAGGAAAGAGACACACAAAAATAAACAGCCTCCAGCTGTGCATCTGAAACTGCGATCCTATGGCGAAGCCCCAACCTTTAGGAAAACAAACAGGGCAAATAAACTTTTCACAAAATGCGTTTTTATTCAATCAAATTCAGGCAAGTTTCGATCAAGCTTAACACTGGAAAGACATTTGATTACTTTAATTTGAATTCATTATTTTTTAACCAAATAATTGCTATGATGCTATCCAGTGTGGCTATGAGCCACGCTGGATAGCACAGAGATACTGCTAATTTAATTCAGCCAGGACTTGTAAACAGACAGGCAAAAAAGTCCCAAAATGCATCTGCAGTCGATGAAATTTTAATGAAAAGTTAAACACTGACTCTGCCTTCTTGGTTAAAATGTGGCATCGTTTTCTGGTGTTTGTGTGTCGACATAATGTGTTTCCGGGCACTTATGGGAGTGTGTTACCATAGTGAGGAATGATTCCCCAGGCGGTGAAAGAGGCATACAGGCCTCCCAGCATCCAGAACATACAGAGCCAGCTCAGATGTTCTCCACGCTTGTCCATCTGCAGGAACTCAGTGAAGTAGGTGTAAACGATAGGGATGGATCCACCAATTCTGGAGGGGGACACAACAGCGTTGTCATTTCCCTAATCAGACACATTTCCATCCTACATATTCTCAGTTTAAATGTCCAGATAACCTTGGGTTACAAACTACTACTTATATCTTCATTGTGTATCGATTTTAGATGCACAACTCTTAGTAAATACCCCGATTGTGGAAAATTAAACTCCTATGATCCAATTTCCAGCTTTATTTCAGAAGTAAAATGAAGTGAAAAAAGAAACTTTCCATGCCACTAGTGCTCAAAGTGGTCTAAATAATGGAATAAACTATGTTGGTGATATAGGTTTGTATTTTCTTTTATCTTCACTGTTCCGAATGGCCCACATTTTAATTATGCAACATGCATTTAGCTTTGGTCAGGCTGCCACCATTATCCGAAGACAAGTATCGTTGAAAGTTTGAAAATCTGTCGGTGCTCAGAAATAACCTCACTCTAAGGGGGCTGGAGACAGCAGGAAGTGGGCACTTAAACTGAAATGAAAAACAAGAACAAGAACAAGCATTGTTCACTCCTCTTAATTAGTACAAGAAAGACTATTTTCGTTGAAAGGACCACAGTCTTTGAGGTGGAATCATTCAAATACTACAAAATGCTGCAAGTACTGCAAACTCAAAAAGTGCAAGCATCAGCCTGAAAAACTAAATTAACTGCAAAATATCTATGTGCTTCACCACTAATGAACATAAACAAAGAAACGACCCCACTGCACTGCTGTCTTTACCAAAAGTATCCAGCATATTGTTCCAAAGCAGCTACAGTTTGCCCTAATGGAGCTGCTACCTCTTACATAAGTTATTCAAATGTCAGGCATCTTATTTGGTTTTCCGCCGACCGGATTATTCACAGAAAAGGTCAGCCATTATTAATATCCAGTCAAGTTGCCATTTGTTCCGGCACTGCAATCCCAAAGGTAAATGTAGAACAAAATGAGTCTCACCCAAAGCCGGAGCAGAACCTGAAGAAGAGGAAGAAGCCGTAGCTCTGAGCGAAGCAGGACAGGAAGGAGAAGACCAGGTCGATGGTCAGGACGTAGATCAGACACTTCCTCCTCCCCATTTTGTCACACAAACCACCCCACACCAAGGCCCCCACCATCATGGCCACGTACACCAGCAGACCTGAAAATACACAGAGTGATGCACACTTACACTCACATAGGCCGTACAAGAGTTCACACATGTGCATTTTTGTGCACATGCATACACACAAGCATCCAACATGAACATGAGGACTGAGATGAATGTGCTCCCTATCTCCACCAGGGGTCTCTCTTTACCCACGTGTGAATACAAGTGGGAGGGGGTGGGCAGAGAAATCATCACACTCCCTGCTGTATATCAGTGTGGTGCATCTTTTCATGTGCAGTCTGATCAGCACTGGATATTTATCATGATGTTCCCAGGAAACACATGCGATTTGGTAAGAGCTGTCCCTGAAAGCTGACGGGGAAAAGAAAAGGTCGACGTCATTTGGAGGCACTGATGGGGAGGATTTTTTTCCCCCCTAAAAAGCTATATTCTTTTAGCTGTATTCATATGTGACAAGTGTTGCTCCGGCTCCTTTTGTGTTCTCCTGGGCCTTCTGCAACACTTCATTGTTGCCATGAATACAACATCCACTGAGTCAGAGAGCTCTGGAGTCTGTGCTAGTATTCAACAGGAAGCAGGGTTCACCGTGCTATTCCCGCTAGTTGTAGAGGGCTGTCTCTCCCAGAGGACCGTCATATGCCCAGATTTGTTATCGTTGCCAGGACTGAATCACGCAGCTCCGACAATCAGCCCCACCAAGACGTTTAAACCCTCCGGCCCGTACTCCCGTCCTGTGCTGTGTTTTTACTACTAGGCCCTAATTACAGTGGGCCTAAGCAGCTTACCGGCACGTGGGACCATAGTGTGCACCTTCCCCATGGATTACCGAGCAATCCAAATGCTCTGACACTCCACATGCCAAGCTGGACATCCCATTCAACAAGAGACCGCTCAGGACATCAAGTCATCATGTCACCTGATATATTGATGCTTGAGGCGGTGTGAGTGTGCGCGTGTGTGTTGATATGTGCAAGGACAGTCTGACAGGAAGGACCAGTGATCAGAAAGAATGTCCTTCAGGTAGAGTCCCAGAATCCACCCCAGCAGCAGTAAGCCTGAAAAAAAAGTGTCCTTGAGCCCAGATAGGGACACGGGATACCTGCAGGGGGAAAGAGAGATCCTCTTTTCCTCGCAATATTAAAAGTGAAAGCACTGTAGACCATTTATCATGTCGAGAAGATGGGAAATATATTTGTGGGAACATGCAACTGTGGCCAAATAACCCACACAGGATACACTGAGGGAAGAAAAGCAAAGCCTGCGGGCAAAACTCAAGACAGATGTAATCTTGATGCAATTGATACACAGCTTCCAAATATTAGCAATAAGCCCCATAGATGATGCAGCCAGAGACATGGTGATCATATTTAGGAGGTTCTAATACCAGTTTTGTAAATATTCAACACTGGTCTTAAGTTGATTTCTTTAATATCTGTAGTTTGTGCAGATAAGAGCGTTATAGCCGAGCAAGGCTGATTAGTCCACAATGGCAGAGAGCTGTTCACCCTCATATCCCTTCTTTGAAATGTGGAAAGCTTGTAACAGTGCAGGTGTTATGCAAATGTATTCCACAATGTAGACAAGTAAAAGAAGTAAAGCCTGGACTACTAACAAGAAGCCATTTCAGGGAATTCAGGAGAATAACTCCATGTTGTGAGGGTTTGGGGAACAGCAAGTTCACAAAACTTTTACAGAAAAAACAACTCTACAAAGACGGCAATGGAAAGGACAAAATCTAAATATGTTTGCTCATTAATGACCATTACACGGTAGAATATATATTACTTGAAAAGACTAGTAATTTGGCATGCCACAATCACTGCTTTCAACCTCACAGTAGATCAGAGCAGATGGTTGCTTTTCCTCAGATAACAAATATTTTTAAAAAACTCATCTGCACATTTTTGGGAAAGTTACAGTGGCTTTGGTAAAGTCTTTGCACTAAAAGTTGCATATTAAAGTTATGTGCCTCGTGGCAGCAACAGAATCTCATCAAAGAGCGCCATCACCCTTTTTTTAATCTGAGCAGGCTTGGCTTCTTGCAACGGGTTGAAATTCTCATTCACAGCTACCAAAAGCATGCACAGTCCTTAATGCCCATGGCCACTAATTAGCGAACGAGTGTATTTGCATGAGTTAGGAGGAATCGATGGAGGAGCAAGAAAGGAAACATGCAATGTATGTAAATCTGACAGGAGAGTGTTTGAGCAATGGGTGGAGGGCTCCCTGTGGCCTGGTTTAGGCAGTCTGCATGGAGGCTGGCCAGAGTTCTATTGGTTATTTGTCAGATGAGGAAGGGAAGAGGCCCTGTGGGTATCGTAGATATCGGAAACATCCCACAGCCTTAGGTTCAACATGCTGATATCCACAAGGTTAGAAATGGGAAAGATTGCCACCAGTGGATGTATTGTCTGAGGTAAATAGAACTCACACTGAGTCTACTCTGCCTACACAGACAGAATGCCACAAAATCCAAGTCTGCATGTTACATTTGTTATTGCATGACTGACATTACTTATTTCTCTGATCTGCAAAGCACTTAGGCCATTCTAGATGAGCTTTTCAAAAGTAGGGGGAATGTATCATGAAACCACTTTGTAGTGCATGCTGTGGTGCTTTTGATTTGTGTTTCTTTTTGTTCTTGCATTATTTCAGCAGTGATTTAAAAAGTAAATAAACATTAATTAAGCAGTTTGATTTCTCCTTAGGACACATAGAAAATGTGGAATTTAACATCCAGGGCATTGTCTTTCTTTAGTCTCCAGCGTTAGGTCTCCCGCTAACGAGCTCTTTTGTTGATTAAATCGTCGCCGCACCATCTAGAGCGTAAGAAGCCTCACTGTCGTTGACAAAATGTTTGGGAGTCGATTTTTAATCCAAGTCTAGAAGTGAGGTTCAACACACTTCTGCTCTCATGTGCCTGCTGAACAAAGGACAAGCATGCATCTGAAAGTAGCATTCCCATCTACTTCATATTCTCAGCCAGTGATCAGTGCTCTCCTCCTGCTCTGCACAAACAGATGCTGTGATTTCATTTACGCCGGGCCTTCCTCCCGCCACCACAGACTGTCAGGGGCCTGAAGCGTATCTGACAGCTCTGCACTGGGCACTGCGGGCCGCCAGGATCTCTGACTGCTGCAGCATGCTCCGTATTAGCACTGGAACACACACCGAATCCAGTCACCGCCAGGTTTCTCATCAGTCTCTCACGACGCCTCATCCCAGGGGCCCGTCGTTAAGATGAAATGAGTGATGTGCGATCTGCCACACCGCCTGGCTAAACACAAGGCCTGAGACGCGAGGGGAGTGGCTTTAATTTGCGGTTCAGTTGTCGGCACCGACAGTGAGGAACAGACGGTTTCAAGGTACATTTCCCAACAAGTTGCGTAGATTCTGCATACATATTTCAGATTCACCTCTCAGGGTCTGCTCCTGTGGTGAATCTTTGTAAATGTGAGAGGCAAACATGAGGCTGAACTAATACAAGACAACACATTCAGATGACAAATGTGTCTGTTGATTATACTCTGGACTACTGTGCCTTAAGGGGAACCAAACTCACTCGACAATAAAGATCTGTGTTATTTGTCTCAAAAGTAAACCTCTAGACGCATGTAGTGGCAGAGCCAAGGCTCATTGAGGCATATTATTGAGCCATTTTTGCTGACAACGGACCAATTCCCAGCCAGGACACGCAATAACGATTATTCTTTTTTCTTGCCTTTGCCTAAAATGATCCGGGCCTTGTCTCTTAACTTGCAGGAGCAGCTGGGGGATATTTCCGTTTTATGGTCTGCAGCCATCAAGAGCCAAACATCTGCAGGATTTTGTTCCAGCCAAGTGCAACAGCACATCATTTCACTGATGAGTTCCTCTTCTCTTGGTGAGCATTGCAGCTCACCAACAGATGAGTGCAATTAGCAAGATTAGCAAGAGCTGGGAGCTTTATAAGACCTATACGTCTGCTGCGGAGAAATACGTCTGCTACGGAGAAATACGTTTCCTAAGATGAGGATACATTAGCAATGCTAGCTGAATGGTTTCAGGGAACGGTATGTCGCCTCTAGGTCTGCTGCGAGTAAATATTTAATTGGCCACCAGATTGGATGTCAGTCTAGTGTTTGCCAACTTCAGAAAAGGAAACTCTCGAAGAGCCTTGGTCTACTGCCCAGCAGGTTAGATATTGTTCTGCTTCAGCGCCTGATTTAGATTGAATACATCTATTCAAGTTAAACATTTTCACAAGTCATTTTTTGATGCGATTATTTGAACTGGGTGTGCTTAAGCAGGGATACATCTAAAACCTGCAGGACTTCAAGTTGAAATATTTGCTTGTAAACCTTATTAACTAACCCTACAACAGCCCCTGGAGTCAATGCATTCACAGTCATTACTGACTAGATGTTGTCCAGGTACCACATACATTGGGATTTTAACTGATCTAGAGTTAATGTGTCTGCAGAGCAAAAATAAAGATAACTGAACATAACTCTTAAAATTAGATGATGACCAATTTGGATGATCCAGTCCTCGGTCACATCTGAAAGGGGCTGGAAAGATTCATGTTCTGATGGAACAAGTGTGGCACGTGGCCTGGCTGCAATACCAGAACTGCAGGATCAATCTACAAAACAAACTAATCAACCTGAAACCAAATTTAGAATCTACAAACAGCAAATAAATTATTAGAAATTTGAAAAAAATATCTTTTTCAGTTTTTCACTGAAGATAGGGAGTCAAAATATTTTTTATTGCTTCACCAGAAACTCGGGAACTTGAGTTTGGATTACGAAAATTAGGGAAGAGGTAGACTGTTAAAAACCGAGACTGAGGAATGTTTGAGTTAGATGCCTCCACCCTTCTTTCATACAAACAAGCTCGGTTTAAAATCGAATTTCCACTAACTTTTGACATTACATGCCTTTTCTATCAGTAGAAAGCATTTCCTCATTCCCCAACCCTGCTTGTACTCACCCAGCAATCCTTTGTCAGAGTTGGATATGCACATGTCCTTCTCGGCACTGGGCATGACGAAACCCACCACGAAGCCGTCCACACCGTCAGCCATCAGCGCCAGGCCCAGCACGACGAAGAGCATCCACTGGAAGCGCCCGTGGCCACACTCCTCCATGATGGTCTCGTATTGCTCTGGTAGGTTTTCCTCTTCCTCTTCCTGCTGTGCGGCCATGCGGGCTTTCCTCCTGGCCTCCAACCGGGCGGCCCGCCGGGCCTCCTTGATCTCATCGGGGTGGGGTACGCCCTGGTACTCCCCCTCATACATCTGATCGTCATCGTCTGCCCCTTCGGTGGCATCGCTGGCGGCGTCCTCTTCCTGCGGCGGGTAGTCCGTCTGGTACGGGTAGCCGTCCTGACCCCCGCCGTCTTGAGTGTAGGTGTAATCTCCACCCTCTGTCATCTGCTGGTTCACATTGTTTTGATAGGGGTCATCCATGGTTAGCGCTTGGCGGATGGGGAGCAGAGGGGTATTTGTCTTGTCGCTGTCGTGTGAAGTGAGAATCCAAGTTGTCGGCTATAATGGCATAATCCTCTCTAGTTACTCTAAGTGCCGCTGCAGTCACCAGGAGCCCAAGAAACGGCAAGTCTTCAGTTGGTCAGTCCTACACTTAAGGCCTCAAAAGCTGCACCGATAGACTGTTACCTTCCTTGATTTGCACAGTGCTGCATGCTGAACCTGAAATAGACAACAAACAACCGTCGGTTTAGGAACAAATATGGAAACTTGTGAAGCAGAGGCTTTGCTGTGTAACAGTGGCAGTTTGAGACCTGTCAGGTCTGTGCTGTAGTCAAATTTCCTGACAGCTCGGTTGAAAAGTACGACTATAAATTACATTTTTGAAAATAGATATACAGACCAGGTCCTTTAATCGTATCACTGCTTTTACTTGCTGCCTTGTATTCCCAGAGTTAATGTGAAAATATTGTCTTTGTCAATGCTAAATAGACTTTTTTCTTCCATTTTGTGTTTCAGTGTTTTACATCTAAACAACCAAAAAACCTTCAGTTCTAATTTAGGTTTGGATATTATACCAAATGAATGAAATGGCTCTCCTGGCAGAAGAGAGAGAAAGTCAGGAAAGCTGGTTTCCCCTGTAGGCTGTTTGTCCTTCTGCACAAGCAGATAATCTCATCGTCTCCTCGCTGAAATGCTCTGACGCCATTTTGATCCATCACACAGCTCTGCCGTGACGATTACAAATTCAGATTTGTCTTGGTTTTTCCAGTGACTAGAGGCAACAAATGATGAGAGACATAATGCTGCCCATTCCACTGAATTTTTGGACTTTAATTACAACGTCTGTCACTGGGAAAATGAAACAACAAACACTGTACATTCAGGGGCATGTGCTTGCAAAAGAGATGGATTGCCTGCGTCTGCTTTTAATTTAGAGAATAGCAAATAATTAAGCATTGAGATCCAAGAGGTTAAGCTGAATGCTTAACTCAGTTAAGCGGACGACCCATCAGAGAACACACAGAAGAACACAAAGCAACACAAACCTCCTCTTTCTTCTGTGCAATCTCGACTTTCAATTTCTGATTCTGTTTCTTTTCTTTCTTTTTTCTCTTCCTGCAAAATTACAAGAGGAATCTGTTGCTGTGATCTTATCTCAGATACGATTACATTTAACAACCTGAAATGGAAAAATGAAGGGGAAAAAACCAACACACAAGATTTCAGCGAGGTGTACATCAGGGCAGTTTGGTCACTGAAACTTTCTCAGGGGGATATAACACCACTATTAACTATGGATATTTCCATTGGTGCTAGTAAAACCACCTGTGATGGAAACAAATGGTTCCATACTATTTCTTCCAAATAGCACTTTAAAGTGTGACAAAGACACCAGATCCTTGTGCAGTATCCCCTTGGATATTCTGTCTTGACTATGCCCTTAGTGGATGGGCACACTGAACCGTTCTTTTTTCAACCACTGATGACTAAATTATGAAAATCTACAATCATTGCCTGACTTACTGATCTTTCTGACAGTCTGATCCTGCCAAATTGCTATTTTGCCATTTACTGGAACTAAACCTAGCAATACATTTTCCTCCTCAGACAAGACTATACAGACTTGCTGACTAAACTTACTAGTGTTCACCTCTGTGTTCAGTTCCATGGTGTAGAGACATGCACTTTACATTCTGCTCCCTTGATTGTCAAGTAAGGGATCCTATCCTAGGCGTACTAAAGTCCTCCATTTGGAACATGCGATGTCACCATGGTGGGCCGCACCCTCTTCATTCAATACACCAGTTTTGGGATATTGGTGAAGGCTGCTGTATTGGCACAAAAAGCAAGAATTCTGCCTCCACAGCTAAAATTGCCACAGCTCAGCTGGTTACCTGGATGTCCTCTTTGATTTTTGTAAAAAAATATCAGATTTTTTCCAAAGTTTTAAATACGCTTTCAAAATAAACTTTATTTGTTCATGTTTATTATCTTTATTTTTTTACATTTAAGATGTAATGTTAGTTTCCTCTGGAGCTCAAGCAAAACAGAAATTCGGATGAATAATCATCCAATTCAGCTCTCTTTAAAGTCATAAACCTCACACAGTTCAATGTTCTCTTTGAATTGTGTGGTTCAGCTCCTTTTAGCTTGGAAACATATTCTAAATAACCTTACATGAACTATTGGCACACAGTTCTAAACTTATGGGTCTACCAAAACCCTCTTATCATTTTTCTTTGCTACTATGCCCAGTATAAAGTGTAATTTGTTTCTCTCAATTATCCTTTTAGAACACTCTTGTAGGGTGCTTCCTTCAGGCTTGTCCTTGTCATGCATACTAGGCTTATCCAACAATGCTTATCTTGGTTTGGGTTGGTTTGCTCTGGTTTGGAGCCAGGATGACAAGCACTGCCATTTAATCCAGATTAAGGCTACAGATTTTTTTTTTTTTTCATTTTGCCCTTGTTGCCTCACATTATTGTTTCATCGCAAAAGTCATCAAGGTAGCTGATAGCAGTGGATTACCGAGGCTCGACTGAAGTGCTGAAAAATGTATTTCCTGCCCTCTCTTGTGTGGTTTTGAAATCCTCAAGTCACTGTTGGAATATGTGCACGAATTGGTTTTGTTGCCTGGAGGTGCTGTGGCTCCATGATGTGATCACAATCATCTTCTTTTTTCCCTCCTTTTCTCCCCTTCGGTTATGTGAATAAAACATGAACAATTCAGTGGAGAATTACATGAGGATCGATGCTCCGTCTGGTTTAGGGAACTGATGTTGCTTTCATCATCACACCACAGCTCCTCTACTCACACAGCTGGTGCTTGCATAACAGCTTGGCTGCTTGCACTCAGTCATTTCCCCTCTGTCTCCCTCCCTCTGCCGTTGCCGAATCGATCCATATTTATGTTCACACCCATAACACACACACACTAATTCAGATGTCAAATTGGCTTTTATGCCGGTGCAGATTTTTTGAATAGGTCATGATCTGCTTTCCTGTGAGAGTACTGAAAAAGTCAGAGAGTCCCTCTGAAATCACGAAAATCAATGGGAGTCTGACGCTTAAAAGGAAGCAGAGGGGTCACAACGTAATTTACTGAAAGCTATTTCAGTTCTACAAGTGACCTTTTACCGTTTAGATCATTTATTAGTTTGACTGAACCAAACGGTGCCTGTCTCCACCCTATCAGTGTTTGTGTCTGTTGCAGCCCAGACGTGCGTCGACTTTCATTCCGCTGCTGTACGGCTGTATTTTGGAAAAGGTACACAGACACATCAATGCACCTTTACCAGCTGCATTTTCTCATATCTAATCAAAGCCACCAGAGAGAGAAGAACCTTGTGCGGTAGGTCACAGAGCAGCTTCCTGCACATCTGTTTAGTGGCGAATGCCTTGCACGTGAGCTCCTCAGAGGTTTTATTTACAGATCCCCTCCAGACATATTTTTGCCATCTTATACATTATAGACGCACACTGCATTCATGTGCGAGGACTGTGGCTGCAGACTCGTTGCATGACATTTCAACAGTTGGCTGCATCCCACCTGCATTTTGCTTTGTGCCAGTGCCACCGTCTGCTCACAATGGCGTTTGCAACAACACATAATCTTAATCTAGGATTCACACACGAGAGTTGATATGCAGAGAAACACCTATTCGATTGAACTGGCAACTCGTTTATTTCATTAACTGATGATCAACCATGGAGTTTGTCCTTTCTGAGAGATAGAAACAGGCTTGCTCTCATTTTAACGAATAAAATAAACATGCACATAATTCCATCAGCATAGCAGTGCAAATGGATTAACTGAATACAAACGGCTTGTTGTGAGACAACAATGGCTGACTGTTATTAGTAGGTTTTCAAGATTCTATTGAACACAGTGAGGGGCTTAGTTACTGCTGAGAGGTAAAACTGAGCTCTGTTGACTGCATCTGCCACTTTCCATCTGTTGTATTTGTGGTCAGACAGGGACTTTCTAGACAGGGCGTTCTTTTAATCTTAGTTCTTGAGTTGCCTCCAAAGGTCAAAGAGCTATCCTGCATGATTTCTTCAGGACATCTTTCATGCTAACATTTCAAGTGCAAATATAAATGACACGGGATTGTGTGCAACACTGTCCCCGTAGCAGAGAAGTTCCAATTACAGAAATAAAGGAAAGCTACAACCTGGTATGGTTGTATTCTTCTCAAGATCAAAAGCTAAAGAATGCTGTAAATCACAAAAATATCAAACTCAATGCCTTTGTTTTTTAAAAGAATGGTGTGACAAAGTTATGTTGTGTCAGACATAACAGATTTGGATATATGCATGTAAATTATTGCAGGTTAAACACAAGCAATTGCTGTATTCAGATTTAGAAACTTCAACCACAAAAAAGAACAAAAAACAAATCCCACAATGTATTTACTTTTTTTTTGGTTTTACATCTCGATCTGTTCTTCATTAGTTTATTTCAAAAGACAAATTGAAGGCAGCGAACAAAAAGTGGAAAATAAAGCTGGTTCTTACCAGAGCTGGCATTCCCTTTATGAAAAAAAAAATCTGAACAAGACAAACATCAGTATTTAAAAAAAAGGTTAAAGTCCGTGTAGCATTTTCAAGTGTCCAGAGCTCTCATGACAGTTTAGCTATCCGAAGGCCGTGCTACAGCCAAACCTGAGGGATTAGGATCCAGGCTCACGACCCCCCCCCAACCAACGCCATCACACATACACATATACACGCACACACAAACACCCCACCCATCCTACGCAGGGCTCATCCCCTCAGGAAACTCCCCGGAAGTGATCCCCCCCCCCCCCACCACCACCTCTGGAGCCTGATGGTACAGTCCTAAAGGTTTAGATGGCGGAAGGCTTTACTGACAGCTGACAGCTGACTGCAAACTGCGTAGTCACTCTACATTATGTTTTTTTGTTCAACTTGCTGATTGTCGTGTGCGATCCTGCACAAAGAGGTCAGAGGTTATTGCCAGTTACCAGAAAACCCATCGTGATTCTGTATTTACTCAAGGACTTTTCAACGGGGCAGAAGTTTGTTGTCGTGGAAGTTAAGCATGGGCCCCCAGTGGTCTGCAAGCACTGTGCAGAAATGTCCTACATTGTCCACATTTTAGATTCCATCTTACCACTGCACCACATAGTTTCCACCGCTGGTGTCATATTTGCTTAGTGGCTGCCTGCAGAGTCTTATGCACCCTTTTGTCCCATAAGTAGAATAGCTAGGATGGCTGTATGCCAGAGTGTCCTTGATTGAGACAATGGCCACAGTGACTGCACACCCCTCCTGAATCTCACCGGATGAGCAGAAGAGAACAGCAAAAAAAAAGAAAAAGGAAAAAGGCTGAATTACTCCTCCTCCCTGGACGCGGGAAGGAAGTGGCAGTGGTTTCATTTGTATGGGTGCGGATGAGTGGCCCCTTTTGAAGGGAGATGGATAATCACAGATTTCCACACCACACATCATCATTCCTACGGTTTACATACAGAGAAAATATGGACTATGATAAAAAAAAAAGGGTCTGGCTGTACAGAGAGGACAGCAGTTATGATTAGATTATGTGGTGGATTGATGTCATGCTATCCTAAAATGCAAGTACATTATAATGGTTGAAAAGGCTTTAGATATATAGACATGTTAGTCAGACCTCATGAGGCCTTCACCAGTTCCTGTCAAGTGCATGTGTTTACACTGTCCTCTATAATAATCATTAGTTAAGATGAAATCTGCATATATTCAAATGCTCCCAGTTCAATCATCAAAATAGTTACTTGTTTATTAGATTAAACTTTATTGTCATTGTACAGAGTACCGTTAAATAGCGAACAAAACGCAATTAGCATCTAACCAGGATGTAATATATAGAATTATTGACATAAAGTGCAGTAGAAATCTATCTAATCTGTTGGAAATGTATGTGCATCATTTACTCCATCTTATCAATGATTGTGGATTTTTTTTGTTTTCTTCGGTAAACATCTTTATATGAGCCTGCACCAAACAAAAGTTGTCATGTTTCCTCGCCAGTTTGATGTCCTCCGCTTGGGTGTTAGTGTCACTTTGCATCTGGCGTTTCTGTATATAAATTCTAGGTTTTGCTACCAATTCCGCCACTCTCTGCTAAGGTAACAAACACTGAATCATGTTTCTATACACTTCTTTTGAAGTTAAATTTCAACTTAGAAGGCACTTGCTTGGGATTTTTTTCTGATCCGACGTGTATGTTTTCTTTTTGCAGTCGTCCAATTTTGTTTGCCTTAGCTTTTATATTCAATATACCCAACAGCTGAGAGGAACTGGCAGCGTCTGCCCCACTTTGTGTCGAAACACCTTCCTGAGGACGTTTTAGAATAATTTCCATCATGTCAGCCAACAGTTCTTTTCTCTTGGCCATGTTTTCTGTCATTCTTCGAAGTATAGCGGCTGGTTTTCTCTTTTAACAGAAAACTCACAAATACAGATTACAGAGGGATCTGTTTTTCTTTTTCTGCTTGATCCAAAAAACAAAGTTGCCAATAATCACAACTATCTTCTCAGACTTTGTCGAGGTATGTTCCCATACCCGGGAAGACAGTTCAGATTTTAAATAATCTAGTTTTGCCTCGTAAATGAACAGCTGAATGAGCCACTTCCAAAACTGTCTTTTAATTTTTTTCTCCAAGAGTTGCACCTGCTCAGAATAGCCCAGAGTCATTAGTATTATCTGCCAGGTCAGTCACAACTGAACTCTGTAAAAACTAAATGGGAAATCATTATAGCATGAACAGTAGCCAGAGTGCAGGTTCTGCCACCCCCGCCTCAGGACATGGTACGACCTGCCGTGGGGCATCATTTTAGAGAGTAGATGTCTTGCACAGGCAAAGCTCTCTAATCCGAAGGGCAGATAATTCGACTGCAAAGAGGATTAGCTCCACCCCAGCAGAGCCATTGGCTAAATTTAGCCCCCGTACTCTCGGTCTTCACCAGTCTCTGTTCAACCACTCCTTCCAGCCCCGCCTGAAACTCCCTCTACCCATCCATGAAGGAACAGTATCCACAAATCATTCTCTGTCGTTCCTCTAACCCTACTGTAACATTTTAAAATCAGAGCAAGCAAATTTCTGTGCCCTGTCTCTAGTTAATGTTGATTATACACTTTTGTGACAAAGTTGAATGCATCTTTGAAAGTCTCCAGCTTTCTTTAATCATTTAAATGTGAGCAACTGTTTGAGGGGGAATCAGTGTTTGCTCTCCTTTCTTCATTCCCCCTCTGTCCTCCATTTGCAAAGCTCTGTCCTCTGGCAAGCTCACTGGGATTACAGTTGATGGTGCCTGCTGTAGTCCTGCCCCGGGAGGAGGGGCAATCCCCGCCATGCAACGCAAAGATGCCTCATGCAAACATTCAGGAAATTAACGCCTTCCAGGGGGAGGATTCTGGGAAAGAGTGATAAAAGCACCACCAGAACTGCCTTTTTCCAAGTGTCAATTGAACTCCCTAAGTTTACGACTTAGCTCTATCATTCCTCCGATGTGACAACAGCCGGTGCTGTATTCAAACTATGAAGTTCAGTCTCATCAGAACCCATTAAATTGGAGGAGTCGGACTTGCTTTTGTGAAAACTGAAAAATACAGCACTGACAAAGGCCTTTGTGGAGAAAAGAAAAATCTAATTTTCCTCCTATGAATTTCAAAGACATTGGCTAAGGAGGTTCTTCGCTATATCTTTTTCATATGGCATGAATACTTGACAATGTTAGCAGTTTGGTTTCACTCAGATTAATCTATGATAGCTTTAAGCCCCTCAGGGTTTCAATTCCAATGCCATTTCTTTTCCATTCCACAGTTTCATCTTGTTAAGAAAGTCATATTCTGCATAACTTCTAGATAACAAGGCAGACTAGAACAAACAAAACTCTTCTGATACAATTACTGCAGCACAGTTTTGTGTCATTTGTCCTCTGCTGCATTTGCTTTGATGGAGGCAGTGTAACATCGTTTAGAGAAAATGCTCCACATAATTTTGCATTCAAGCATAACTTTTGTTGTCTTTGCATGGAGTTTAGCGTTTAGTTTAGAGCTAAGAATCTCTCATGCAATACTACAAAAAGATTTTCAAAACAACCTCTCGATATATTCTCCCCTGCAGGAATCGTAATACATAGTATGTGCATTGTTTTTTCATTGTTTTCCCCCACAACTGAATAAGCACGGTTTAAAGCGATCTATTAAAAAGGAATTAATGTCTTCCTGCACATATATTGTAATGAAATCCAAGGGAGGTACTTTTTGTTTATTTACTCAACTGTCACTTTTTTATTTTATTTTATTTTTTACTAAGAAGTCACAGTGCCTCCACGCCTCCTGTGTGCCCCTAATTAAAGAGGAGGGATCTGAGGAAGGTAATCTGTGAGGCTTTGGTGAATGGAGGAGGGATGCCGAAATGGGTGGGAGGCAGAATCCCTCTTATCTGAATGGACACGTCAAGTTGGCTCAAGTCACCTGACCGGCTACCTCGCGTGCGTCCAAGGCCACGGGCATAAACACTCGAAGGGAGACGTACTTGCACAAAAGCTGAAAGGGTGGCAAACCGTCATCTTAAAACAGGCGAACCGCCATTTGAGTCGGGCAAGATTCGATTTTAGTTTTGGAGATTGAGAAGCATATGAGCTCTTCCAATCTTCCACCACTTGGTGTTATTTTGCAGTCCTTCATGATTGGTGGACGGTATGCGTGTGCACGCACATACACACACTGAGCTTATGTGACAATGATTTGTACCGTGGTGCGTTTAGAATCCAGATGGTAAATCCCAGTTGATGGGATAAACTGGACTTACTGACCTGCCAGAGCTCGACTACTGACATCTTGTGGACAGATTGGATTCACGCGTACCTGCCTTAAGGGCAAACACGTTATTGATTAATGACCCTGAGCGTAGCCACTGTCTGAAATCTTATATGAGAGTCTGTCAGGGCGCAGAGGGTACGTCGTTTACTCTTTGTACTGGTGGTTGGTTAGCTTTTTTTTTTGTTTTTATTTGCTTTTTGTCGCAAAAAATGAAGAATTTCACCCGATTTATCCTTGAGTTTGTAGCTCTCATGGCGACTGTCTGTTGAATGGCAGCTGCGTGATGGGTGTGATAGCTCTGCAATTACACCATGCTGTATCATGATAATTCTGAGCTACACGAGGATGCTTCAAGGCGCCCTAACACACCCGATGAAGAAAATCAGGAGCTGTGTGAAAAATCACACATCCCGAGTCAATTTAAAGTTGACAGTTACAGAAAATTGGTGTGAAATACCCTGAGAATTGTTGTACCTGTATGGTAGGCATGTAAAAAAGATGTGCAAGAACAAATGGTGGGTGGCAGCCAAGTGAACTGTGCTGCCGAGAAAAACAGACAGCTGCAGCCCAGAGGAAGCTCGTCGAGATCTTTTTGATCTCCGTGTCGACAGAGTGTTTTAGGCTGAACGCGTGTCAACTTTGCAAAAGTAACATTGATCAGATACTTCAAGTAATATCAGAGCGTCTGGTGTCACAATGGATTTTTTTAGATTCCAGTCACATTTTCACTTGGAGGCATTTATAGACTCTCAGTTAATTAAAGTTGCACTAATTAATACCTTAACATTAACAGTGGATCAAATGACTATATATAATGTGTGACGGATAATTCATAGTGATGAGCCTGCGGTTAATTATCACCCGACTGTGCAATATTCCTC